CTCTCTCTCTCTCTCTCTCTCTCTCTCTCTCTCTCTCTCTCTCTCTCCATACCTGCTGCTTCAACCCTTCCTCCATCTCATTATCTCTAGGACACTATGATTTTGTCAAAAACCAATAGGCTTATTTCCAGTTGTGCTGAATTTGCATATTGACGGGACACTCATGATGTACCCTCAAATAGATTTGTCCACTGAGCAGCGCGTCTGTGTTTAGAGTGGAAGTTGGGAAACGTCTAACTCGTATTGATTGCACATAATCACATTATCCAGAATGACTACAGTTGTTTGCACACAAAAAAGAAACGTGTCCTTTAAAGAGAGTTACAGGGACTCCGTATCTGTATAGATTATATTGAATTTGAGTAGGACTCTGATAGACACTAGTCCATCTGTGTTAATCTGAGTCATTTAAAGGGACAGCCCTGTTGCGGAGGAGCTATTCAGCAAAATGCCCACCATGTGGTAGCTATATCGCAGGAGTGGAGCTTGGGAGTTTTGTAGAGGGGCAACCTGATGCAATCTAGATAAGTGTGGTTGTAATGGCGACCAGATTGAGATAGTGGAAGCTGGTGAAGTCGGAGGGTCTCCCAGGAAATCGCTGACTGCTCTCTCTGTCTGTATTAATTGGTCCACCGAGGGCCTTCTGTTTGTGCACCGTGGGAGAGAGAAATACAAGGTGCAGCTCACGACACCACTTACCTGTTATACCTTTGTCATTATTTCAGGACAAAAATGCCAGATGTGATATGCAGCAAAATTACATTTTGATCATCCAATGGGCTCAGAGTCTGGATGATTAAAGCTGTCCAGGTTAAACAACATAAATACACTTAACGACAAGTGAGTCAAGGGAAAGCTGTTAAACTTTGCATCAAACTGGACTTCAGATATATTTGATATTTATTTACAAGGGTGTCCAATCAACTGATGCCCACATTTCATCGTCTGAATATTGTGTATGAGGCGAGAAGTCAGAGAAAAAAAGTTGATTCTGCATGCCAAGTGCACGTATGGCACGTTAGTAAGGTTTACACCATCATTTCATCATCATCTCTCTCAGAATTTATTGTCCTCAACTTTTGCCCCTCTTTGAACATGCGATGAAAACATGGAATTCAGTTAGCACTTGTGAATGGGAGCCTCTCAGGTGGGGATTTGTCGATGTTTGTGCGCGTGTGTTCAGCCTACAAATCACTCCTATTTGTTTGGCACGAAAACAGATGATCACGTCTCAAAAAGGTGACAAGCGTGATGTAATTTTTAGTCATGTATGGTGTCGAGGCTAACTTGATTTGCATTCAGCTTTGACAGACGTGCACCAGTCAGTCACAGGGTTATGTTTATTTACTATTCCTCAAGGACGTGATGGTAAATTAGAGGTGTTTGATACAGCGTCTCTTCTGTCCCCCTCTGGGATGTCACAGCTTTTAGGAGAACACTCCTAACTAGCGCTAACTCCTAAAGGCACACAAACCTCTGCCCACAGCGACACGGCGTGAAAAAAAAAAAATCAACTTCAACATCAGCAGGTCGATAGATCGTGGATGGAAAAGTTAAGTGTCGTATGAAAAGTTTGCAGATAACCAAGATAAGCAGATTTTTACTCAAACTTACTGTTCGTGCGTCACTTGTGCTCCTTCAAAATGTCAGCTCTTTAAGCACACATGTCCCAAATGGCTCCCCGGTGTCATTCGCAGCACTCAGGCCGTGTCATGCTGCCCCTGCAGAGCCGCTTCAACCCCAGAGGCTCAGCGTCTATCGCCTTTGAGCTTCACACAGCCGATATTAGTCCGGGCCATATGTGCTTCTCGCTCATAACACAAGTTATACCGTTCACTCCTCAGTCGCTCAACTACATTTTACAGTGAACTTTAATTATGTTTAAGTCAATTTAAAACGACTGGCTATACTGTACACAAACATTTTCATTCCTCATCGTTCATCAGTTCATCTTTACATTACATTTTAGTCATGTGGGAGATGCTTTTTACATTAATTAAACTATAAATCGTATTCCTACACCACCAAACTTACTGAGGGCATAGGTCAAGAACATGGCATCCCAACAATGTCCCCCAAAATGATGACGTTACAGACAGGAACATCGTGAGCTCATTTTACTATAGCAATAACCAATCCTGCTTCACTTACTTTAATATCAATTGTGTTTGTATTGTTACGGTTTGAAAACCTATTTATTATCTTAAAATTGGTTGAATAGAAGTAGATCTGAGAACATACAATAAATATACTCAAGTTTTCACAATGCAATGATATTGGAAAGCACTTCACTTTCATGGCTGCTAGTGAACAATATCCCACTCGGGGGTGCAGTTGTGGTATTCACAATCTATGTTTTTGTTGGCCTCATTAGGTCAGCGCTGGTGCTTCTGCTTATTCTCCCCTCTGGATATTTTTCAGATATCATTGTTGTGCTCACTATGAAATCCGAAAAACATGTTTCTTTTATAGTAATTTAATGATTTGTACGTCGTGTACCCGATTTGGAATTCACAACTGTCATTTTGTATTGCCTTCAAGTAGAGTGAAGATGATTTGTTCAAAGCGGTAAACATTAAGAGTGGAACTTTCACGCGTGCATCAGATGCGTTAAGTGAAAGCTTCTTTCATCTGCTCTGTCTGAGTGTGTGTGTGAGAGAGTGTGTGTGTGTGTGTGTGGGGAGGGGGGGCTCATGTTTCGGGGTTGGGCAGGAGATTTTTCTCTTTAATCTCTTAAATTACTCTGAACTCACATGTGGGTATGAAAACTTCTAAATAACAAATGTCTCCGCTGGAATCTTGTGAAGGATGTGTAAGTCTTTGACAGGTGATGCTATAAACTCGCCCTCTTAGTCGAGAGATGTCTCCGTTTCATCAGAATTTTTGGAGGCTGTCTCCAGACCGGGTTCATAACTTCCATTAACATTGACAAAAATCATGTGAGACCCGTCCTAATTCACAGCCTGACTCTTATTTGTGAGGCCGGTCTGCGCGCGTAGATCACCCAAGGCTCATTAATATTTCACCCGACAGTAAGGCTGGGTGTCACTCATGCTCATCACCACGGTAATGAGCTCACACTGCCCTCTTAAAGATCTGTTTATTATGCAGCCGGGTGCGCCAGAGACTCAACGATACTGAATGGCACGATGTGTGAAAATCTCCGCCAAGGTCAGAGAAGCGCAATTTGGTGTGAACGATGGATGTAGTCCTCTCTCGTGTCTGAGTTGTGGGGAAATGTAGCTGTAGTGAAAACTGTTCATTTGAATCAATATCTACAAAACGGTGCATGATTTTCTCTTCAAACCGGGGAGTTAAAAAATGAACTTTTAAAGTGTTGAATCTAATTGGTATACCTGTCAGGGGCAAGGTGTGCTTCTGTGATTACCGGCGTGTCTGTTAAATATTCCAGTGGTTCCCTGAAATAAATGAATCACACAGCCGCAGTCTTATATTATCATCTATCTGCACATGCACGTCTCTGTTACCGATGTGAACTGAGAGCAACATATACACCGTGTGGATCTATTATACAAGAACTTGTTTACGGGGACTTCTTTTCTTCTCCATGAGATTCTTTTTTTTTTTTTAACGTGGTTTCAAATTTCTCGATGTTGAATCATGCATGTTAAGTTGCATGTCATTTCACTTCATGTTTCTTTATTTTTCACGTGGCCGACCTAGTGTAGGGGCGAGCCATGTGATTAATTGCACTGTGCCGGAAATACATGTATTATATACAACTTCTGTAGATAATGAGAGTTAACGAGCAACTTAACTAATTAAACCACCTGACTGTGCAAATAGAGGAGCCGCAGTGTTTTAAATGGAACACCTCTTGTGTGCTCTCTTTTGAAATGTGAACGCTAGCAGCTCATTAGTGCGTATGAGATTATTCAAAGGAAGCTGGTAATTAACGACTTGTTTGCGAGAAACAACAAATTTAGGAAGCAAGAAGTGTTGTTTTATAGCTGCATGTCCTCAGTTTAACCAATTTGTCAGCAACAAACTAGTTAATTAGACAAACAAACAGACAGATACATCGTATATTTTTATTTATTACATGTACGTGGTAGTTTTACAATATCATTATAGGACTATAATTTATCAAATTTGTTAAAATACTTATAGAAGGTTTTCATTGACATATTTATGTGAAATACAGACACATTAATGTCGTGTTATAGGCCTGAATAAAACAATATATAATACAATATATAGAGTGATATTAACATTTGTGTTGTAAAAATCTGACAAAACATTACATAAAGTATTTGGCTCCAAGTAATGTTTAATTGAATAAGTAACATATGACTTTTAAAATGTTTTTAGAATATTTGTGACTAAGATCTGTTAACTCTTTAGTGTTTTGAAATATCAAGAGATTATTTTCTTCATCTGAGAAAAGTTAAACTCAAAAGAAAAGTACAACTGTATCAAAAAAGGCAGCGATTGGAGTAAAAACACTGCATGCATAGATCGGCTTCAAGGTGAACACAGTTTGAGCTTATATGAAGTAAGAAGTGTTCCTCCTGAAACCTCAAAAATGAGATCAACAATACGTTTTGGTAACTTTGAGAGCTCCCTTCATACATCCATTGGCATGTTGCTCAAACTCTCTTCCTTCTCATAGTGGCTGAAAGATAAATACAACTTATGAATCCTGTAAAATGGACCTCTGTCATTGCTATGCCCTCATTTGCCCGCAGGCCTCAGGCTTTCTACGAGAGCCCCAGATAGTTAATCTCTTCAAACGTCCATCCGTTTACACACCATCGGGGGGCCACGTGTCTCGCATTTCCGCTCCGGCTCCGGCAGGTATAGCAGCACAGGTTGGCTTGCAGGCGTCCGTGTTGTGCTCGCTTAGTCCCTGTCGTCCTCCAGATCTGTCCCCCGGTGGTCCCCTCAGCTCATGAACTGTGTGTAGCCCTCGGCGCCCGTTACTATGACATCCATCCAGATCCTCATGGCCTCCGGGGACGGGGCCACCATGTAGTAGAGGCGGTCATGGGTTTTCACACAGAAGGTCAAAGATGGGTTTGGGCTCTGGAGGATAACGGAGAGAAAGGGGAGACTTTTCAGACTGCGAGCTGCACCTGTTGCATCTTTTTCCTCAGAGGAAATTGTCAGAAATACAAAATATATAACAGCATATAATAACGTTGGGATAGTCTGTTTCAACCTTTTTTATGGCCTGTATCATAATGCACTTATAATATGACAAAACTAATTCAATTTAAGAAGACAATTGAACAACTTAATCCAGTCTAATATGGATGTTTCCATCTAAAAATAACTCCCAATTGAAAACATTCCCATTTTTATGTATGATGAACTTCTGACAATATTTTCACAGTTGTGAGTGACTATAAAAATATAATCTACCATTATAGTACAAAACAAAATCATACATGTGGTTGAAATAAAGTTTATTATAGGGCAATGTTAGAGAATCTGTATTAAACCCTTCAGATTGTATTCCTCTACGTTCATTGATACATTTAAAAATAATAAACATCTATTTCAAACATTGTAAAATCGCGGACAAAGTTCTGAATGATAAGAAATGTAAAAAGAAGAGTGTGGATTACCTTGGTGGCACTGCGTAGGTGATCGTAATAAACCTCTTCAATCGCCTGAAAGTAAATGAGTCCTTTCAGCTTGGTCTCATGCTTGTCTGAGAGGAGAAAACGGGAAAAGAACATATTAAGATACATTACATTATGCCTTTTACTGATGCAAGACCTCTGTCAGCCCAAGCAGTGCAATCAGCCAGTGATGTGGCGATACATTTCATGTTTGTCTTTGGTCAGACAATAAACGGCAGTCTTTTTATTCTATTATCAAATATTTCTTACACACCTGTAGATCATAGAGAGATGGTCACAAACAATATTTTATTTTACAATATTCTATCGGAAAACGTGGCCTTTTTTCGATGACATTAAAGCCATTTTAACTAAATTTGAAACAACCAAATAAACTACACTTTTCCTTGTGCCCCTAAAATATCCATTTAGAAATAATTGTTTCAGAAAAATAAAATAAAAACCAAGCACAAAAACACATTTTTTGTCAAACAAGGTAGACAGAAAATGCAAACCCATGCCGAGTGGATCAAGTGTCGTGTGAGGACAATAATGGTGAGTACCAGGAGAAAGTAAAAGTTGTACATTCGAGTAATTTATCCAAGATCCCACATGTGATGAGCCATTATCTCTTTTTTAAAATTTCCTACTAAAGCAAAACCTCTTTATTTTTGGACAGAGGTCCTTCTGCCTCTGCTATCAGCGATGACTTGAATGAAAACTCGCAGGTCGAAGCAGCTCAATTGCGTTGAGGATTGTTAGTTGTGACTTAATCATATAACTTTAAAGAGACATTTTGTATCGTTTCATAAATATTATTTTTTAAACTTCCACAAAAGATAAAATCATGCCATGAAATAAGCTTGTAAGTGAAACAGAGGAACTTAAATCTGGAGAAACCAGACACAACAAAGCAGAAAGGTGTTAACTCTTTTTTCCCAGCAACACATAATCCATGAATAGGTATGAGCCACACTGTGTCACAGTAAAAGTTAATTAAAAGTGCAAGTCTATTTCAAGCTATGCCTGAAGTCTTTACCGTCCTATTAATTTGACTTGTTTTCTTCAGTCGTGCTTTCTGGATTGTCTTTGTGGGGTTTTTTCAGCCTTTTCCCTGCTGGCGAGGTTCACGACTTGAGATCTTTTGTGAATCTTAAAAAGAAATGCCTCTCTTTTGTATATCAGATCAGCTCAACAATTTCCCTTCCAGCAGGTCAGACCTTGTGTCCGGTGCTATAGATTGCTGTTCTCTTCTGGCAGAATATCTTAGAGCGTGTTAAAGTCACTCCATACCGAGGAGTTTGGTGGTTGTTTCAGGGAAACCTGCGGATGAAGCTCAACGGACGCAGTCGTTGGACTGATGGGTTTCTCTAGTTTGGGGCTAAACTGTAGGCATTTAAGTTTCCTCACGTCTAAGATCAATTTTCTTCAAATGAAATCGGTTCAAAGAGTTTCTGGATTCTACTCTTGTTCAAATAAACAGTGGTCTTTTTTTGTGTCTTCCGTGCACACTGGAGCGCCCGGCTATAAGAAACAAACATCCAGCAACAATTAAAGGCAATCTTTTGAAATACGTCTGACGCTTTCTCCTGCTTTCCCCTTTTTCCATAAGTCAAATCTGCTTAGTAATGAGATAAATGTTTTTGAAATGTGAGTTTCGTTTTATTAGTCACGAACAAGCCAGGAGCTAGCCTCCTCCCCAAGAAAAACACATCTAGAGAAAGTATTGCATCTTATTTCATCACCATCATCACCATCATCTTCGTCAGGAGTAAGGGGGTGAAAAGGCTAGGCAAGTGAGTGGAGAGAGAGAGAGGAGCAAAGAGAACAGGGGCCACAGTAATGAAAATATACGTGGGTTCTATTTTCAACTTGATTGTAAAATAATACCTCAAAAAACACGCTCATGAATTATTCAGAAAACGAACTGCTCTCGTTTCAAATTCAGGGGGACAGTCTGATAGACGCGAATTACAAACTGACTGTTAACACAGAAGAACGAGGCGGGAAATTCCACTTAGTGCAGCTTTAATTAGTGTTTGGTTCCAGATGAATAAACGCCGGTCGGGACAGAAGTCGGGTTTTAGTAAAAAAAAAACTGCAAAGAGAACAAAGTGTACGTTTCTCAGAAGAGCCCCGGCACCGCTGCCGGGTGAACTGAATAAATCAGGTCCTGGCTTGACGCGCAGCAACTCTCCAACATAACGTTCTGAGTTCACGAATACCACAGACGAGTGGGCTCTTATGTGAGCAAACCGGTTTGACCACTTTAACCTTCTAAACAAGGGCTGAGCCTCGGATTGAACAAGCCAAGCAGAACTTGAACATATTGGGATCCTGCTGGTGCGGAGGGCACTGTAGTATTTAACAAAGGCTGTGACTTTTAGGCCTCAAAGTTGCTCTTTTGTTTAATTTGCAGATTTTAAAATGGACTTTGATAGACAGTGTCATTATGTTTTTTTCTTTATTTCTGGTGTATTGTCTAGAGTATCAGGGGTAATCGGTCTGTTTTTACTATTTCCATTCTGATGATGACCCTGTGAGGTTGAAACTGGTCAGCATTTTAACCAATAAGCCAAATATAATACAACTCCTCTCCTGGCTTTGATTCAGACTTTTCTTTTCTGTGATCGGTTTGTTCATCTTCTAGAGCTCCTTTAATGGTTCCCTGTATTTGCTGCATGTGAAACTAAGTGAGCTCTTGGCTTCTTCATCTCTCTTAGTATTTGCAATTGTTGAACTTCGCCATGTACTCGGTAATAGTACCAGTGTGCACTTCTATAGTGACAGGTTCACTTTAAAGGTCGATGTTAAGTATTGTAGAATAAAGTGAGCTCCTGCTAACTCGCCCACGCTGCTAGCTCTCTCCACCTACACCAACCACGTTACAAGGTCTCTCTTGCAAAAGATATCTTGATATCAGTGAGACTTCCTGAGTAAATAAAGCTGAACTAACAAATCACCAGTAACAATTCAACCAATATACCCCATGATGAGATGTCGTTGTATCCTCACCCGCGTAATAGCAGAAGTTCCTCTTGATGCGGTCAAAAACGAACCAGCGTTTCTTCCACGACTTGATTTTGCCGCCCATCTTCACCAGGTGGCCCTTGCACATCTTCTCTGTGAGGTTGACGAAGGCGCAGGTGTCTATGCTGTGGCCGGACGACTCCACGTGGGCTCGCAGGTCAAACTCCTCCTTGCGGTTCGGCAGATAGCGCGTCATTGGACGGGCCTGTGGAGAAAATGCTGCGTGATGCTTCATTGCTGCTGACCAAGTGGTGTGAGTCACAGTACATAGTGTTACTGTACAAGGTTGCTTTTGAGTCTCAGGTCCAGTCATAAAGGATTCAAATTTCCAGTGAGTCAAATCTCAGGACAGCCAAGTTCAAGCCTATTTTTTTGTGACCACAAACTGTGTCCGTCTGCTGTTTGGTCGTGGACAGTGGGTGTTTAGAGCTTTATATGAGGAAACAGCTGCCTGCCTGAGCTAAAAGATGCTAAAAATCTTTTGAGCTGCAAAGTCCGGTAATAACACGCTGTGGGTTCATCACCAGCAGCGGCCTCTTTCACATTACGCATAGTTATTTGATGTATGATATAAGAATGTATTTTGAAAATGTTTAATTGTAACAGCTTCAAATAGGACTCCAGCAGAACAGGGTGCATTTGTACTTGGTGATTTGAGGATATTTGTTTACGTACTTATACCACAGACAACTGGTAATTAAACAAACTCTGCCAAGATTAAAGCTTTAATTATGTGTATATTATCCCCCCCACCCCTTCTCCCCAATCCATTTTTCTCTCTGTTCTTCCTCTCACCCTCCCCTCCATTCTCTCTCTTCCTTGACAACCTTTGATCTTCCCGTATTCCCAGCCTCTCTTTATTGTCTCGCCTCTCATCCTCTTCCCCGAGTCTTCCGTCCCCTCTCCTCTCTCGTCTCCTCCCGCTGCTCCACTGACCTGGGAGAAGTGCTTCTCTCTCATCTTCACCTCCTCCTCCACCAGCCTCAGCCTGTGGGCCGTCTCGTCCTGAAGCCTCCTCTCGGCCTCCTCTCGCCTCCTCCGCTCCTCCTCCAACATCTGCCGCCGAGACTGCACCTCCCTCTCCTGGGAGCGTCGGGAAAGGAGACAGAGGAACAGATGGAGACAAGAGAGGAGAAAAATAACACGGGCAAAAGGGAGTCGGGGAGAATATGTAAATGGTAGGCAAATATTGCAATACAAAGTGAGCGACTGTCAGAGGAGGCTCATGAGAATTCAGGTCCCAATCCAGGGTTTTGTAAAATATATCCCTCAAGTCTGGGTAAGCTTTGCTGATGTAAAATGATCCTTGGCAGCTTTCAGATACTTACATACAGGTCTACTTTGTTTCAACATGTAGAAATAATACAAAGGTAAACAAACTACTTACAACATCATTTCACCACACCTTGAGCTGAGTGAATCACTTTTTTATCTATTAAACAGGAGAAACATGAGACTCCTGCGAGAATTCAAAAGTATTGCTCATCAACTTTCAGGGGAATTAGTAAATTCCGATGAAGTATTTCATACAAATTGTGAGTTTATTGCATTGTATTTTGATTATTTCTCATTTGTATACATTTGCCATATAGATATACGTATATTGAAATTTATGATTTTATCGATAAGGCCTTTCCTTAATGCCAGCAACAAAAATGTATGGCCATAAAATAATGTCATCTAATAATGTTATTAATATTTGCCAGAAACATAAATATTACTTTTAAGTGTGGGTGAGTGAGGGTACATTTTATACTCTCCTCTGAAACCAGCTTAAATATGTTCTCCTCGTTACACCAGAGGTGAGGCACGAACATCAGTTTTAGCAGTTGACACAAGGGCTGCAACTAACGGCAATTTTCATTATTGATTAATCAGTAAGCTGGTTTGTTTATAAAATGTTTAAGAAGGAGTGAAGAATGGGCGAAAAAATATCCCACAGCCCATAGAGGATGCATTCAAACTATTTATTTTATTGGACCAACAGTCCAAAACTCAAAGATATTCAGTTTACTATCATATATGAAAGAAAAGCAGCAAATATTCACATTTTAAAAACTGGAACTATTAAATTCGTGGCGTTTTCGCTTGAAAAATGGCTAAAATTATTTATAGATTATCAAAATAGCTGCTGATAGATTTTGTGTTTATTGAGTAATTGACTAATCGTGTTGAAATATGAAATGAGTCGGCTCTGTGATGGGATAACTGATGATAACTGATAACAGTCCGGTACAATAGAACTCTGCAGCACTAAAGTACGACACTCACTCGGTTCTCCATCAGTCTGGCTTTCTCCTGCTGCGCCTCCTTCAACATCTTCTCCATCTCCTCTATCCTCTGGGCCTCTAACCCGGAGGCACTACAACACACAGAGGGAAGGAGCGTCTGATGACACGGCCACGACTACACTTTGGATGAAAAACGGTAAACAAACACACACACACACACACGTGCGTGGAAACCAAACCCTGCCGGCAGTAAGAGATGGAGGAGGCGAGGTTTCCTCCATCAACACCAAACGGAGCCTTTCAATCCTGAACTTCACGAAAACACTGAAAACTTGGTTGGCATGGCAACAGCCAGTGTGCTATAGTCACGGGCGCACACATGTAACAAAAAACATGTCACGGGAACAAAGCGCAGTGACCCTTCTCCTGGGAGACGGGGGCAGACTTGAGTGTTCCCATGGAAACAGAGCCGATTGCTCATTTTCCAGTCTCTCACCTTTCGGGGGTACAGGCGGAGTTGCCAGTGGAGACGCTGGTCTCCATGCTGTCTGAGCTCTCCAGGCTCAGGGTGTCGTACGCTTGGCTGCCACTCGGCGGCGCCTGATGATGCAGGATGGAGTGATGGACTGTCGGAGGCAGATCTGTGGGAGCAGAGACGGCTGTCACAGACTCACAGTGCCCTCTACTGACACTGTCAACTCATTGCTACTGGTTGGTTATAATCACATCCAAAAGCATGTTAAACTAAGGAGATTGGTGGTATCCATTCCCCCAGACGTATGTTCTGAGTGAAGGCCCAGATGTGCTGAATAGATGAGACGGGCTGAAGGAATCACCTACCTTTGCTCTGCAGAGCCAACTTTCTCCTGGAGTCCATGTCTAATGGCTGTGACATCTCTCTCAGCATTGACTGTAACCCCTGAAAAACACATCGAAAGTATCACATGTGTAGCTACATAGAAGATTTGTTTTACAATTTCCATGTGTTAAACGGATGTGCCCACCTTGGTGGATGCATTTTTCTCATGAGCAGCACCACTGGGGTGGGGCAGTGTGCATGATGCTGCCTGCGCAACCTCACCGTCTGATTTGGACTTCAATAGCTGAGAGAAGAACGACAGATCGATTTGGAGAGGAAGTTTATGTGCTTTAGCTCCCCCCCCCCAAAAAAAAAAAAACCTTACCTCTTCTACTTGTTTGTCCTAATGTGGAAGACATTTGTTTGTGGGTTTTTGACTCATCTGGGCAGTTGTGGGAAGTATATTTACTCAAGTACTGTACTTAATGTTAGGTTTTTGTACTTTACACAAGTATTTAAATGTTCTGCTACTTTCTACTCCACTACATTCATACCTGGTCTTTTTCTGTTTCTCACATCTTCAGCTGAGCCCAACATTGAACTTCACTATTTGTCTATATGGAGCACTCTTTAATTTATTAGACTTCCTTTTCCAGCTTGCAATGTTTCTTTTTTTGCAGGAAGTTATAACATGCTTTACTTAATGCTTTCAGGATAAAGAACCCAACTGATGATAAGCACAATATTAGCATCTGTCAGCGACAAATCAAAGCAAAGTTCCTGAAATTCAAGAAATACTGCCCTGTCTTGTTTAACCCACTAGAGGGCCTCCAAGTCATACAAATATGGACAGTCTGTGTGAGGATCGCAATGCAATGTGGCCTGCTGTTAGTGCCCTTCAGCAACACACAGCGAGAAAGAGTGGATCATTTACCTGACTGTGTCTGCGTGTGGAAAAAGACTTTGCAGGCAGTGGTGGTGGAAATGACTGAGGCTCTCCAGCGGCCATGATGTCCTGGTACCAGCGCTCGAGGTTAATAGGAGGCATTGCATTCCTGCTCAGCTCAGGCTGGCTCTGAGGTGATGAAAAGCGTCCAGCCAAAGAGGAGAGGGGAGCAGCACAGCACCAGCATCAGTGACAGAAGCAACAAGCAGGTAGGAAAGATACACACGAAACAGTCCTCGCAGCAATAGTAATTGCTCAGTGGATGGCTGCAGTGTCGGAAAAAATTGAAATGGTGTCGTCGGTTTTTAAAAGCCAGTTTAGAGAGAATAACAAACCTGCGCAGAGAGAAAGGAGGAAGGACCACATGCAGCTGAGTGGCACGAGAAGGTGGATTCAGAGGAGGCGAGTTGGAATGATGGGATAGAGGAAGAAGAGGAAGGGTCAACTCTCTGCATCCCGAAGATCTGGCTTAACTGACTGACTGTGATGTACTCCTTCACACACACACACACACACAGCCAGTCAATGCAGACACAGGAGACACACACACACATACATTTACAGAACAGGTAGAGAGAAGAAAGAGGAAACATAGGTTAAGAAGCCTGAATATTTAAGAAGGATCATTTGAGGTATTGCAAATGTGCGTAGGTGGGTTCAGTGTTTAGTAGGCTGACGAGTCAGAGGAACAGAGGGTATGGCAGAGAGCAGGCGGGGGGTGTCTACCTCACATGGCAGAGCCGGACCTACAGCGAAGGAGAGGCAGTGGAGAGCAGCAGGAGAGGAAGAGTGAGGTTGCATAGCAGCATTTCCATACATCCTATAGACATCAGCGAGCCTGAGGTACTCCTGCAGCGACAGCCAGAACACAGGGATAAAAATGAGGCAGGCGGCAATAGTCGACACTTAGAAAAGTCATGCAGAGACGCACAAAGCGAACACGTGGGCATCACAACTCACTCGGTCTTCATCTTTGAAATTAACATGGATGGCAGTAACCATCCATGTTACTTAATGGTTACTGCCATCCAGTAACCATCAGTTTAATCAGCCCAAAGGTCATCTTCCAAGTTTGTTTTATTTTGCATCATCTACTGCTTTAATTCTAGATAGTGTAACCCTATAAGTTGGAGAATGTAGCAACCGCAAACAAACATAATAACATAACTTTCCCCAACAACAATTAAACTGCATTGCTGTTGTTTGTGAGTATTTGCAAACCCAACAACATGCTCGTTTTTTAATATTGTAGAAACGGCAGCACAGGCATTTATTAGCCATTTGTTAGGTGTTGTTACACAGAGGATTTTGTCGAGGATTACCTCTTGTAGCCTAACAGGATAAAGTTCAGGGGAGGGCATGTGAGAGGAGGAGAAGGAGGCAGAGGAGGGACAGGGGCTATGAGGAGGACCGTCCACATGAACAAGGTCAGGTTCGCTGATGTGTAGAAATTCCTGTTTAAAAAGTTCATTTAAGTTAAAACTAAATCCACTTGAAAGGAGGTGTTTTTGTTGTTGTTGTACTCCTCCTCTAGCTTAGTAACCACAGATGGTTGTGAGATCACGTCTCACATGTTCCTGCTCACCTCTTTCATGCTGCTGTTGGGCTTTGGGAAGTTTCTCCCTCCTGTCACGGTGTGGTACCTCGTCTCCAGGGCACACAACCTGTCTTGCTCCTAAAGGGCAAAACCAGCATGGACATAGAGGCGCTTTCACAGCTTGCCATGCATCGCTATCATGAATTAAATACATGCCTCCTGCAGGACGGGTTTATTAACGGTGAAAGGCTAACCTTGTGTAGCAGCTGCAGAGCCACCGTCCTGTCCTGAGCCATCCTCTCACAGTCATAAGCCGCCTGTAACCCCAGCTGCTTCACCTGTGCTTCCATAGCGGTCACCTTCTCCTGCAAATCAAACCTGGATGTCACGCTGACATAAACTCTCAACTCGGTGATCGTATTTTACACACATATACGTATTTTCTGCTACAATGGCGTCCGCACCTTCCTCTTGGCCACACTGCAGTGGTACTCGGCTTGCTCTTGGTGAAGCTGCGAGCTTTGAGTCTCCTTCTTCTCCTCCAGGCTGCTCTCCTCCTCCAGCTGGCAGAACTCCAGCTCCTCAAACTGCTTGGTCCCAGACTCCAGAGCTTCAGCTGTCTGTCCACGTACAGATACACATGCAGGTTATTCACACTGTTTGAAGTCAGGCAGACAGAGATATCAAATGATATGACTTTCAATATTTGGTTTCTTATTGTTAACAAAATCCCATGAAAAGACCAAAACCATCAATGATTAACTATTGTTTGTGTATCCAAAGCTGGACATATCTTATTAGCTTTCCCTATGATGAACACAGACATTGCTGCTGTAAATACTCACTACCACATATTTATCCACGGTTGAAAATAGTCCCCATCAAAAGCAGTTTACTCCTTTTTGAGTAACGTTTTGCTAAAAACTACAGTACTTAATTGTTGCAGATTGAAAACCCCTTTGCAATGTATCTAAATTTGCTCAGGTTGCTGATGGTTTCTTCTGGCTGGAGAGGTCGGAAAGTATTGAGGGATGGACTGACACATTCTTGGTTTTGGCATTTTCATGGGATTAGTTCACAATGAGAATGAGAATGTATACAAAATACCAGCCTTGTCCTTTACTGTCCACGATGAAGTAGTCAAAATGTTATAGCATTAAATCTGACAATAATCTGCCTGTAATCATTAAGTGTGCGTATGTGAATTGGATCATTCATGGTAAAAGGCATGCAATTTTTTTAGAGCAGAGCTGTTAATGACATTATTAATTATTACTAATTGCATTTGACATTTCAAGCATCCAGAATGAGGGGAGAGCAGAGATTAAGCAACAGTCTAAAAGAGCTGCTGGAGCAGCAAAAGCGTTGCTTACTGTTTAGTTACACTTATAACCTTATATATATTTTAGATAATGAGGGGCAACAGCAGAAAAAAAAGAGGTAAATGCACTGTCGGCACACTTATGAGTAGCTCTGAGTGCTTCAAAACCGAGTCAGCGTTATGTCTGTGGCCGTTTCTTGTGCAGCTTATACACAACTGTGGTATTTGGCATATCATAACTCACTGTTGCCAGCCAGTGGGCTGCGTGAGAACACTGACCCTGCTGAGCTGCTCCTGTAACTGTTCCCTTAGAGACAAGGGGCACTTATCAAACTGCCTCTTCAGCTCATTGTACTCATTCCTCTGCTTTTCCAGGGCCTTCCGCTCAGCCGAAACATTAGCCCTCCCCTAAAAACACATAGAAACACACACGATTGGGTCCGCATTCACACACACACACACACACACACACACCACCCCAGGGAGAAAAAAAATCACAGATATCTCAAATCCATGCAGCCAAGCTAACAGGCCAGAGCAGTTAGAGTATTAAAGGGTTGAAGCAGAAGTTAGGTTAGCAGGTGTGTTAAGAGGTCGCAATGCTCCACACATTGTTAAAATGGGAGAAAAATAAACAGGTACATGCAGATCTGAATCAACATTTTAGTGTTGGTCACATCCAGCTGAAAGCCTCATACATGTAAGGAAGATTTCCACTATTTTCTGTCTATTTAAAAAGCTTTAAAAGCTTCAAAGAGAAGATAGTTTGTGCTTGGTGTTTTAGGACAGACAGCTAATGGATAAGCAGTGCATGTCAGTTGACATCTGAGAAAAAGATATCGAGACTGTTCGCATGTTCAAACGCAGATGTTCAGGAACATTCACGTGCAAACTGCACTTAGAAGACCAATGGCTGTAAGCAAGCCGACAGCATTTACTGTATTGTTTTTTTTTTCCTGGGTGCCCACCTTGTCCTTCTCTCTCTGGGTGGCCTTGTCCAGCTGGCTGAGTTTGAGCTGCAGCTGAGAGATGATTTCATTTTCAGCCTCCACCTGCTCCTGCTCGGCCCGCCTCTCTGCCTGCAGCAGGGCCTGCTCCATCTCCACCTAGAGACACACATGGAGTCAGAATCTGCGAACCACCTGTCAAGCTCACTAAATACTCAAGGTGAAACAGCTCCCACTCTTCTCACTTTAAGAGTTGATCTAAGAGCCTACAAGCTAAAAGTGTGTGTGTGTGTGTGTGTGTGTGTGTGTGTGTGTGTGTGTGTGTGTGTGTGTGTGTGTTGACCTCCTGTTTGGTCTCTTGTAGCTGCAGCTCCAGTTCACTGACTCTGTGCTTCAAGTCATCAACCCTGGCCAAGATCCTGCTCCTCTCCTCCTCCATGTAGACCTGCTCCTGACCGGCTAACAGCTCTTCACACTGGAACATATACATACAACTTTGTTTTAAGATGTTTTAAAACTTAAAACATCTTTTAAGATCAGACGTAATCTAATGCATGCCTTCCCGAATGTGTTTATTACCTCTTGGTGTGTGCTCTCTGTGCTGCTGGACTCCTCTCTCTGGGTTTCCTCATCGTTCTCTCGCAGCCTCTGGGGTCTGTCTACTCCCTGAAGGGACATCCCCCCCGCTGTGTCCGAGCAGGTTGCTCTGGCGCCCCCCAGCAGCCCGCTTCTCACCACCTCAGCCAGCTCCGCAGCACTGTCCTCGTGATTATAATCCGCACACAGATGGAGGATGGTCTCCAGCCTCTGTCGCTCCTACAGAAGAGATGTGAAACGTAAGTGGGCCTGTCCTACATTATAGATCGTATTGCAGATAAGCTGCAAGTGTCCTTGTGTGACATTGTCCCATTTAGGCAGCTGTCCCTCAGCCACTGGCACGGGACAACTGTAACCTGATAGCAGGAGGGCCGAAGCTGATGTAGTTTGTCTCTCGGGAGGGGGCTCATAGTAAAACCAAAGTTGTTTATGAGAACAGAATCTGACGAGAAGCATCAATGTAAGACACTGGGGAGTTTTGGTTGCACTACACCAGTTGTCATTTAGTTTTTTCAGGCTTTTAATGTTGCTCTTTTTTAGATTTGTCTCTTCATCGTGGTTTGTATTTGTTTGCTATGCCACATGGTTTCAGCTTGTGGCCAGTCTTCTGGCTCCCATCACTCCAAACAATGAGATGTTTGCTTTGATCTACCAGAATAGCGCAGAATGTGAAACAATAATTAGGAATCTGGCACAACTAGGAATTGTGCCTATTGTTGTGTCCACAACCACCAGGATGCTTTCGTCTGCTATTTAAACGATTCAGGCTGTTGAAATAACCACATGAATTCTGTCATAGGCATTGACTTTATCGGCAAGATTTACACCGTTGACAGTTGTTTATGCTGTTTGCCTGCTTCATTTCTTTGACTTAAACTTAAACTGGCAGGTTTACAAGTAAAATATGGACATAAAAATAGAAATATAAAGCTACAATGAACCGAATATTTAGATTTGACTTTCAACAATTAGCATGCAAAAGTTCAACATTTTGAGAAATATGCTCATTTGCTTTCTTGCAGAGCGTTAGATGAGAAGGTCGATACCACCCTCATATATATATATATATATATATATATATATATAAAACTTAAGCTACAGCTAGCAGCTGGTTAGCTTAGCTTAGCTCAAAGACTGGAAACAGGGGGAAACAGTCTGGCTTCATCTGAAGGTTAAAAAATTCTGCCAACCAGCACCTAAGCTAACTAACTAACATGTTATACTATTTTACGTTGTGTTGAGTAATACAGTATCAGGCTGATTTTGTTATAGACACAAATGAGATTGGTATCAACCCTCTTATCTGACTTTCTGCAAGAAAGTGAAAATTTCCTAAAATGCAGGTCATCTGGAGCAAAATAGTGTAACACTGAAATAAACTCCTTTGCCTCGTTATTACTGAAATGTTGCTGTTCATTGCAATTTAAATATTTTGTATTAATGTATGACCATAGAAATCTTCTCAATTAACCAGAACCTCAACAATAGAAATATTTGAACTCTGTTGCAAACCCACAGTTTGGCCTCCTCTCAGTGGAATTGATGCTAAAATTAACTTTTCAATCCCATCCCTTCCTCTCTAGCTATGCCCTTTACTTTTGCTGAGAGATCAACTGCAGCATGGGCTTTTTAAAGTGCAGCAATATCAATGTATGTAGGTTGGGTTCAGTAAAGTGAGATAACAAAATCCTGCATGGCTGTGCCAACTGTGCTAAGAGAGCAGTGTGCCAAATGTAGTGCATTAATTCCTCTCTTTGTCTCTCTCATCTATAGGTCTACAGTTGATCTGTTTTGTGTGCTTCTTTCAAGGCTGCAGAACTAAACAAACCACGAACGTAGTCAGGGACCCCAAACGTAGTTCACCAAATCAGCTGGTTTGTCATTAAATGCATTTTATGTAGGAATACAAACCATTTAAACACAACTGCAACATAAATAACTGGAAGCATAGAGGCTGCAAGACTAATAATGCAGGGCCCCTTAAAGTACTTTTTTTCTTACATTTTGGTAAATACACTTAGCTTTCTTCCAGAGGGTTAGATGAGAAGATCGATACCACTCTCATGTCTGTCAATAACTATGGAGCTAACATCACATCTAGGAGAATTAGCATAGCTTATCACAGACTGGAAACAACTAGCACCTCTAAATCTCATTAATTATCACATTGAATATCATTACTTTATTCTGTGGTCCAACTTTTACACATGTTAGCAGTCTTTCTGCTAAGCTAAGCTAACCGTCTCCTTGCTCTATCTTCATAGTAAAATCTGTAATTTTTACAAATTTTGGAAGGATTAAACAAATGGCATATAAAGTGTTAATAAGGGGTGTTGATTAACTGAGCCAGTCTTGCTGTTTGCCTCTCCTTCCAGTCTCCATGCTAAGCTAAGCTAACCATTTCCTGGCTCTGTTTTCAAACTTACTGGACGGACTGGTATCAGTCTTCTTATTTGACGCTCAGCATGAAAGTGAATACGCAAATTTACCAAAATGTCAAACCATTCCTTTAATGGTTTAAAGGTACCTTGATATCATCAAGTTCTGAAGCTCTACATTTGTCCTGTGGGGCGTTAGTAAAGTAATTTACTGTTTAATGTGTCAATAAGCAACTTTTTTCACACAGTGGTGATCTACATTCAAGTGTGTCCTATTTGTGTGCAGGTGTGCACATATTCTATCATAAATACACGTACAGTAAGCCTTATTATCATCATTTATTAAGTACCAGCAACATAACATAGCCGCAAATCACTGGAACCCTCAGCCAGTAAACAAATCTCAAAATATGAAATTACAGCTAGATAGTTGTATGTTTTACGAATGCAGCATAATATCAAAGCTTGGAAGAAATTCCAAATATGGATCACAAGCAAAAACACTAATCAACACTTTCTTCAGCCAAGAAATATCAGCTGTTTATCTGCTAATGTATTAGAGATTAAATTATCTATACATAGTGGATGACTCAACACAAGCACGGACCATACTGTATCCGCAGCAGTCCAACCCTTATCAGTACAACTCAGATGCATGTTGTTGGTAACTCTTATTTGTTACCAGAAACCTTTTGGTTCCTGAAATAGTCTGTGGACATGAAGGGGCGGGAACCCCCACCCCCTCCTCTCCCTATGGTCCCTTCAGCTGTCAGAAGCAGGCTGTTGGGTGTGGACTCAGGATGGATAACAAGTATGCAGACTATGATCTAGTGTGGGTACGAATAAGAAAGAGCCTTCAAGCTTCAAACGTCGAGCGTTGAAAGTGAAAGCCACTCTTCCTTTTGATAAATATAGTGTTGAGCCATATGCAGCCCTGCCCTCCGCTCTGGACCTTAAGACCGGTGGAGGAACGTTCACCCCGTGTTAGTCGGGCCACACGGGCTGACGATGCCAGTAATGCTCTGGGGAGATGAGCTAATGGATGTATGCCAGGGGATTTAGACAAGATATCTGAATGCAGACATGGAGTCTGCCAAGCCAGCAGTCTCAGCACCCTCACTTAACTGTCACATGTGTTTGTTCCTCTGTGCCTGCCTGGATGTTTAATATTTCTTTTCTAAAAGATGTTGTTTTGCTAACAGTTTGTACGCCCGGATACAGCTGTGGCTCTACCTGTCAGCTTGTTTTGAAGATTTTCACCTAATTGGCCAAAAAATAGATTATAGCAGATTTGAAGTATATACAAATTCCACCGGTCCACAGGATATAGAATAAACAAACAGTCATAGAGGACAAACCAGAGCAGCAAATGTTTTCTTTAGGACTTCCTGAGCGACGTTCACATCAGCATCGTGATTGTGACTCAACCTATCATGGTGAAATTATTTTCTACGATCACATCTGCAGTGAAGTCATATTCAAAATATCACTTACCAGTTTCTCCATTTCCTGCTCACGCAGCCTCTCCTCTCTCTGCCAGCGGTGGTATTCCAGCAACTCGTCCGCATTGTCACTGATCTCAGAGATGCTGTTTTTGCGTTCGCGGGTATAGGGTTTCACAAGACTCTGTTCTTTGCTCGAGGATCCTGTCATGTTCATGCAGGAGGTCTTTTTTTTGCTACGAGGGCTAGCAAGAGGAGATAAACCAGACAGAGAACCCAGGCCTGACATGATGGCACTTCCCGGGCCAGACCTTAACTGCCTGCCTCCAGACTCCTTCTCCAGCCCAGAGAATGATGATGGACCCTGGGCATACATTGCCCTCATGGCTTCTTCTTTTGAAGTAGTTGTGAGTTTGAGGTGGCCCTGGGGTCCCTCTGGAACGGGTTTAACGGTGAAGCCCTGTGAGGCGAGGGAGGAAGCCGAGCCCTGCGATCCTGGAGTCGCTCTGCTGGACATGTAAGGGCTGAGAGGAGGAAGCTCTCTCAGGCTAGTGGAACCGATCGGCTCTGGAGTCCTGAGCCTTTGAGGGACTTCAACATGAGAGAGGTGCTGGTCTCGCATAGGACTTGGGGATCTCTTCTGTAGGGAAGAACCTCTTACTCGAGGGCTGGATGGAGCCGTTGGGGAAAATTTGACTGGGCCCTGTCCTGAACCCCCGTTAGGCGGTGTGGGGCTTGACGTGGCCTCTGCTCTTGTGCTTCTAAGAAGCTTTGGGCTCTCCTGGGTCCACTGAACACCACTAGTACCGCTTGAAGCCACAGAGAGTGAGGTCCGTGGATGGGGGACAGGAGTGTGGTTGGTATGTGCAGACCGCGCTGGTACTGGAGGGGTTTTGTTGCCGAGGTTCTGGCCCAGAAAGCTGCTGCTGTTTTCATAAATGGAGTCCTCGGTCATGGAGCCGTTTCTCCCAATGAGCATGTTCGGAGGAAATGGCTGAGGAATAGGCTGTTTACCAGATCCAGCCTTCAGCACCAAAGAGTCCTGGAGGTTCTTTGCTATGTTGCTGATTTTGGAGTCGCCGTTGCTTGAAAACGATCGATGGTTCCCGTTCAGGACACTTTGAGAGTCTGCACAGGGAGACAGAAACACTTGTGAATGAGCATTCCTGTTGACTAAAGGAAGAGGACACTCTAAAAGGCAGTTGCAAAAACACAGATAAACAAACACAGCTGGAGGGATCTGTCCTGTGTTGTCTTTGCCTACTGACATCCACCACACAGTCATTGCTGTTTAGGACAAAAGGGATCGCCCTTAAAAGGACAAATACACATGCCTGAACATACACATTGTCCTGATTGCCCACTTTAAATAGTGATAAAAGTCTTGGAGCCCATGTTTTCCTGTATGAACCAAACCCAGCAATCGGAATGGTGCGCTCCTCAGTTGTGTTGTAATCCTACAGGGATCTGAAGCTGCTAAATATAAAAGCTGCAGCGGTCTACCTCATTCAGAGCAGATGAAATCAGGGCCTGGTCAGGAAAGAGTGGGCCATACACACAGGGCAGGGTGTGGTGGCTCTTACTGCACAGTTCAAGCACTGACAGCCGAACCAGTAAGGTCAGAGGAGAATGGATTCTAAATATCATCCACAGCACGAGGCCAAAGTCAAAGCAGCTAACGGGACAGAACAATATAACATCATCTGAATGTAACTGTAAAAAGAAAGGTTACAACAATCCTCAATCACAATGGGGTCACACCTTGAGCGAAAAACCACAGAATGAAATGAACTAGATCACAATGTAGGCCAAAGATAATTAGCCCTGAATAAGCTATTTCTGCATCCTGTCGAGATTAATGACCAATGTTGCAGTCAGACTTTAAGACCAATTGTGCCACAGATATAAAAATCAAGAGCTCATAAAACTGGTATTACATCTGAGGAAAGAAAATACAACTTCCTTTTTTAAATCTTTTGACATGAGCATATAAGTTTAATGTCAAAGTCAGTTCTGAGTTTAACGTAAATATTTTCTTTCTTTATCATGCTTACTGTATGTCATCTCTGTAACTTGTTAGGACGTAAGCCTTAAAACATGGTTAGTTTTAACAGCTAATCATGTACAAAATGTCATCATACCCAAGGTCTCTTAATTACAGATGTACGATGGTTCAGCATTAACCAGAAGTTTTTGATTTGTACATTAAGGTAGAAGGAACCCAACTATAACGAAATATCTATTAGCCCAAAGCATTTACTCTGCCCAGAATAACTACTGAAGAAACTGTACAACCTTCATACATACCAGCGTTTTCTGGGTCCCTGATTAGTTATTATTACTAACTGCATGCATGCATGAGTATGAACACAACCTCTCCGACTGACTCACAGGAACTGTACAATCTGATGCTAGGTGTTGTGTAATTATCAAAGCAAAGGGTCTCCTACCTGTAGGGTGAGCTCTTGTGGCGCTCAGTCCTTGGCTCCCTCCAGGCAGCATGCTCTTCATCCTCAGGGCCTCCTCTGGATGGTTGAAGCGGAAAAAGACAGACTGACCAAAGCACAGCATGCACCCTGCCAGGAGAGCAGACCGTGTGGGTAAAAGCTGTCAGTGATGAGTTAGTTAACAACTTCAAGCAGAAAAAGCATTGACACCAACATAAATACACTGCTTTAAAATATTTAACTGACTAATTAACTGTGCTTTTTTCATATTTAGTAACTATTAGTAACTTCAGATTTTAATTTAAATGGCTATAACTAACTAAATATGTATATAACGGCCACAGTACAACGCCTGAGTTTATACAAACAATTTCATAATACACATCGTCAATACAGGAGGTGTGAGCATAAAGACCGATTTTTCAGCGAGATTAATTTTAACGTGAATGTACACAACACTGCAGCTTGACATTTGATAAAAACAAGTTGATCGAAGAGTGAAAGCAAGTGGTAATCCAGCATGAGAGAAGAAACAGTCCTTTAGTGTGACACAGACATGGCTCAACATTTCTACTATTGTTGTTTATTTGTCCTCTAATCGATTAGAGGACGTGTATTGGCAGTTTACCATACATAATTAAACGGACTAGTTGAACTCACGTGTAATTAACCAGTAAGTGAAATCAACTCCTTTCCCTGTATTTCCTCTCCGGTGGCTTTCAGGAATGCCTGATATATTCCCTGAGAGTCAAACGCTGAAGTTTCCTTTCCAGTTCTCGACATTCCACAAGGAGTTTAATATTCATCTCATCCTTCAAAGTGTAGCCAAAGGTCCACATGGCTGCAATATTGTTCTGTATGATAGAAATTAAGCAGTTTCCTCCATTCCTGGGTTGTTTTATTCAGAATTCCATGAGTCCTTTGAATGAAGCCTAAAGTATTCTTGTTCAGCAGCTGCTGCCTCCACACACACTGGCTGATTACCCGGCTTCAAATGACATGCTGGTGTAGTTGCTGGCTTGGATCCCATGGAGAGGGGACTGAGGGGGGTGGGACTGCTATGCTTTTTTTAATGCAAGTAGGCATGTTACTGGAAGGACATGGGACTGTTTTGTTTTTGTAAAGCTAGGCATTGTTATCGTCCACCTTGCTTTCAGTGAATTTAAAACTCATCAGAACCCAGTTTATGTATGAGTATGAAATACAAGTCGTCTGACTGTACATCAACGTGATTTCATAGATAACTAAAGTTCTATAGCCAATAGTTTGAGCTAAATGCTAACATCGGCATGCTAACAGGCTCACAGTGACAATGCCGATCGGAAGCAGGTGTGATGTTTACTATAATTATCATCTTAGCTTAGCATAAAGCATGCTAAAATTTGCTAATTGCACTAATGACAGAGTACAGCTGAGACTGATGGGAAAGTCATTAGTTTTACTATTATTTAGTCAGGAATTAAAGTAGCAAACAAATTGAATATTGACATGATGCCGACGCCAGATGAAAATGTGAAGGATTCACCAAAGTTATTACAATTCGTCCAGAAGGGGACAACATTTTATGGCAGTCCAGCCAATGGTTGTAAGACATTTGACTTACAGTGAAACATGCCAACCTAACGGTCGCGAAAGATAAAGCGTCAGGGCATTAGTGAAGTAATTAGGATGGATAGTCTAATATACACTACTGTCCTACACAATCATCTGCTTGGTGTCATTTTTGTGTTTGTTTAGAAACGGCTTTAACACCAACAATCATCTCTTAAGCCTGTGACAGAGCTACCTTGTGTCAGGCGAAAGGGTTTGGTGATGGGAAGGCCATCTACAGAGCACTGGTTTCCACATGGGTACAAGGTGATGCTGTCTGCTCGGTTTTCAATGTAGCAGTGCTGAGCTGCGATGCCGTGGCCCTGCAGAGGGATGTCTGTCGCCCCACTGCCCAGCGTGGTTCTCCCTGCAACAGGAGAAAACATTTTCTCAGCGTCAGTTACTGGAACATGATGTGGACCTGTGAATACTTCTGTGAAGTATTCTTGGGTACAGTTCGAAGTACGGGTGTCATTTCAGGGATCAAGGTCACAAATGGAGTCAACCCGTGATTGAATGTTGGAAAACAGGTGTTAGTTTCAAGAGGTGTGCTGAGCCCGGCAGATGAAAGGAATCTTATTAGAGGAAATGAATACACCCATCAACTATTTTCTGTGTAGTAGTTTGATCATCAGTTGTATTTATATTGCTGTCCGAGTGCAAGAGATTTAACTGTAACACTATTTGTTTTTTTTTCTCTCTCTCTCTCTCTCTCTTCCTCTGGTGTCTAGGCTCAGTGCTGCAAGAAAATCCCAGTCAAGGGTGTAATTGCAACTGTGGGGCAGTAACAAGATGGTGAGAAGGTAAGGTGTCATCGGTTTTTGTCAATTCATCACGAGTTGTGCTGCCTACATATTAAAAAACAACTGACTTATTTGTAATAACATGCTTGTGGACGTGTCTACATGTGCAAACAATAACATAGATTACAGAGGCTGTCAGTACAGAGATGTCTGGGCTTCACAGACTGTAGATTACCATGGAGGTTAAAACGATGTGGAGTATCCTGATCTTATTAGCTCCTCTTACACGTTAGTCACGTTAACAGGGTAATGGTGCAGCATGATTAGGCAATTTAACAAGCTCTCAATGAGTTTTCTAATGTCCTATTCAACAAGGACATTAAGATATCTATGAAATAATTGGTGCATAACTTAAATGAGCAAATATATCATTTTAAACTAGGTGTTTGATATCCACCCATCCCACCAACACACACACACACACAGGTGTTCACCTTCCAGCAGAGGTAGCAAGGTGATGGCGGTGCTCAAGCGTCCACTCCCCAAACTAACCAGGTGGGGGCGCTCTGCCTGGACTTTCAGGGACTTGCCTGTCTCAATCAGGTCTAAAGGTGTGCTCTGTCAATACAAAATCAATAAAAAAGACCCATTATTTTATGATTCTAAAACTTCGTTACTTTCTACACACAGCATATTGATTTTACACTTCTTAACACACAGTATCTGTCTGCAAATGTATGGCTGAACATGGTATAATTATAATAACAGACAGAGCATAGAAATGATATATAAAGGTAGATTTGTCTATTTACTGCAAGCACGGATTGGTAGATTCATCTGTTTATTGATTTTGTTGCTAAACACTTTTAAGTCCTTACACAAATCAATCACTCCTCAGTTATATTGAGTAACAAGCTGACTCACAGCAGATATATAATAGTAATAAAGTCAGTTTCTCATGATTTAGCACCCCAGTTATATCAACTGTAAATCGTGATTTGATAAATGACTCACCTGTAAGACCTGATGTGTCTGTCTCCCATGTTCCACTTTATTCCTGCTCACGCGCTCCATCTCGTCTGGACTGTCAGAATTATCTGACACATGAAGATCCTGAAGCAAACACACATGCAGAGAGAGAGAGAGAGAGAGAGAGAGAGCAAGGCATGAATGGGAGCTCTGGGAATACTGCTAGTTGTACTACAATGGGAACAGTGCTTTCCTTAGCAACCTCCTGCCCCACTTGTAAGCCCATGTGACCAAACCATTATACTGGGTAATTGTTTCACCAGACAAAATGATCCATCTAGAAGCTGTATGCCTCAATCTAAGAGAGATTACTGGTTTCCCACATTTGACAACAGCCTGCTATTGTGTGAGTATCATCACAAATGTACTTTTGAGATGGAGCACAAGGTATGAATGAGCTCTGCAGGTCCCTCACACATCAGGGGTCTGATCACCGCTCACCCGGCCCACAATGAGTCACTGTGACTCACATACACATCTTACAAACACACACACACACACACATGTTTGCAGACAGATGCTGCAGATTTGATCCAGCTGTCTGCTCATCGCGGCTCACATGAGACGAGAGGGAAACAGGACCAGACGGACCTCAAACAATCACCCACAGACACATACGCAGCCCAGATGACTCACCATGTTTTTCTACTAAAAGCTGGTATCCGCGTCTCTCGCTATCGCCCACATGGGTTGCTTGTCCTGGCAACAATTTAGTATCAGCTCAGCATTCCAAGCCAAACTGAAATAGACACAACTACCTACTATCGAGTGTTTGTTGTGTCTACCATGACCAAACCTAAATTGCTGTCGTGTTTGACTGTTGAAATTTCAAAGGAGATCTCTTTACTTTAATGATCTGTCTGAAACTGAAGTTTCTGAAACTCTACTGGAGGAACGAATGCCATCTTTCCGAAAGATATTCCTGTATTTGGTGCTTTGATGGCGGTGGTGGAGTAAGGTGTCTGACTGTGTTGAAAATCGTTTCCACTGGGTTAACTATAAGGTAATAGTATATGGTTCACATTGCGTTCATACTCCTCAAACCGTTCAATAATCTGTTTCTCATTTATTCTGCTTTTTCCTTTGATTTCACACCTTTCTGTAGGTCAGGAAATGACCACATCAGCCCATTTGCACATCAACACATGACTGTTGCATCAAAGGCAAATGCCTGGGCTCTTTGTCGCTCCATGCTGACATCACCGTTCAAGTCAAATTCTTGAAAAAACAAAGAAGAATTTGCCAAAAACCATCCACAGCTGCTGTGCTCCCACTTTAGCCCCGGCTGAGACAACAGGGCGTTCTATCCGCGTCTGATGTCACTGCGGACGAAGCCGCCGCATGAAACCACACATGTCTGACAATCACGTCCAGTGTGTGGGTCTCAGAGGACCCAGTGGCACGGAGAACAGACCGTCCCCTCTGTTCACCGTTGACACTGGACCCCTCACGCCTCTGCCGTCAGCCCACTGGCTGTCAACACTGGCCCTCTTTGAGCCACGCAGTCAGACACAGGACAGGACAGTGGGCAGGGTAATGTCTCTCTGGCTGTCTGACTCACACACACACACACACACACACGTGCACACATATACTCCCGCTCCCACAAGCCTCAGTGATTGAACGTACACACCCAGGCCAGAGAATAGTTTTAGTGCTTGCAAATGCAGGGCCTTGCACTGTAACCTGTGATTATGGGGGCAGTTATGCCCTTCAGAGTTGCCATGAGCTTCTGAAAATAGACACCGCCAGCCACACGGTCTGGGCTGCTGCTTTTAAAGAGAAATGATTTCTGCTCAGAGCGAACACTGACAAAATTGACATTTAACATGATGAATAAAATTAAATAGAGTGTTATTTTTATGAAGGATGATATAAAAAACAGGCAGAACACAAGTTACAAACATAACAGTGCAGCAAACACAGTCAACAGTTTACTTACTTCACTGACAGGCATGCAGCTCTTACCATTACTCTACTCTTACAGAGTCCAGACAACAGCTAGATCCATGAGTTTGTCTGAAGTGTATTTATCCACAGAGCAGCATCCACATAATTGTTTATGTCTTGCTCCGAGCTTTCTTCATTCACTCACTGAGTTCTTCTGCTATTTCCCTCCTCCCAACCCCTTCTCCTCCCTGAGAGCAGAGTTACAGAGGGGGAACCCGGCATCGGCACTGCCCTCTAAAATGTGCTATTACATCTCACTAAATTACATGGTTTTTTTTTTATTGACTTCCTTTCTCTTTCCTTTTTTGGCAGATAAACCCTATGAGGAAAGAAAATCAACTCTATATTAAGAGAGGCGTTGGTGTCAAAGTCCAGATCCTCCTCAGAGAGTCCCTGAGATGTATTCCCTCCTACAGGATTTCCATTGATTGAAAGATCAGCTGGACCGCACCAGATGATCAGAGGAGGAGGCTGGAGACCAGACCCCTTCAATGCCGTGAGCCTCCTTTGCTTTGTCTATTGGTTAAGCAGGTGTTAAGAGTCTGATCCAGGGAGGAAATACAACGTGGTGTAGGAGTAGGAGATTTAAAAGACCTTGTGTCCTCTGGCTTCCTGCTCTGTGCCACTGGTGTAACAAACTGTCGAGCGTGTATTTCCACTCTGGAAAACTGTTGATAACAGTTTCTGATAATATGACTAAGCACGGTGGATTATAATGTGTCCACTGTGCTTGATACATCAATAAGGATGGGATAGAGAAATACTATGTTCCACAGGAAGTGAGCAAACTCATGCGAGCCATCTCTTCAGCAGTCCCACAGGAACGATTTGGCCGACACAGACACAGAGAGAGAGAGAGAAAGAGAGAGAGAGAGTGGGAGAGAGAGAGATTGAGTGAGTGGGAGAAAGACTCCACTATTGATCTCTCAAGGCTTTTCCCATGGTCAGGGGCCAGAGAGGAGATGGAGGAAGTGAAGCAGATGATGAGTCACTAAGGAAAATTAAAACAAACAAACAGAGGCAGCTCAGTAACCAGATGGACTTAAAGTCCGCAGAGAGGGTTGATGTTCTGAGTCAGTCGCCCTCGGCGTTGATGTGGAAGTTATAGCAGAAGGGGTGAAAAGTTGCTGAATGTCCTTTTAGATAGTGATTTCTAATGTAGATTACACTCCACAGTAACCACAGACGGTAATACAACAGAGGAAATGGATACTTAACAGCAACTTCCGCCCTTATTAATTAAGGAAATTGATGATTATTCTGTTGTGTCACATCTTATCTTATTAATTGGAGCACATGCATTAACATGACTTCAAAGTAAAAAAAAAAATAGTAGCATCATAAAAAAATATTGTGATTTATAAGATTATGAACAGAGAGATTTGAAAAGATGTAGTTTGACACGTTTTTAGGTGGTTGGAAAGAATGAATTTATTCTTGGAGTGAGATTCCTTGTTAGTTTTAACAAAAAAGTGACGCATCCTTTCAAACAGCTAAAACCACCCGGATTATGAAGACAGTTTTTATTTTGCCTTGGAGTTTAACCACATTGGTCTGGACTGTTTAACTGATGGCTAAATCATGCTAAATGATCCTGATGGACTAATAAATAATATTCAGTTTACCTTCTGATCAGGATTATTGCCAATACTATGACTTGTCTTTATGCAACTCTATTCTCCGTACATGGTCTTGATTATAAGCCTGAATTGACCGTAGCGATACCTCAGCATTCAAGGATCGAGGATGATTAAGTTCACCACAACAAAGAAGATTTGCCAGCTGCACCGTCAGCATCAGCGTGTGTTTTTTCCTGATCCCACTGGTTTGATGATTTCTTACGGGTCTGGTGGGAGGTTCAGATTGTACAGTCTGGAGATGCACACGGTTCTAAACCGTCTAACCTGACTTGTGGATCAGATGTCTGTAGATCTCTGCAGGATGTCATGACACATGACAACAGACATTCGGAAGCTTAGTGTAAAATGTTTGAGCAGGATGCAGTCAAAGAGGTAGAAGCAGCTCACAATCCATGAAGCTGAAGAATGTATGGAAGTCTGATGAGAAACAGCTTTCACTTTCCTTCTTGCATTATTTCAAGTAACAGGGACTTCTTAGCCCTGAACCCAGGCAGCACTTCCTCTCAGCAGTGCACAAATCCTGCCTCTTCCGCTAAGATTGACGAGCCAAAACATGAGCTTTGCCCTAACCTTGAGCTGAAGCATGTTGTGGCTGGCAGGAATGCTGCATGTGAGACTCACCATGTATCATCTGATAAAAGACTGATGGGTTAAATAGATTAACATCATCTACAGCAGAGACCCAGATGTAGTAGCAGGACATCGTTGGGCCTCATTTCTTGTTATGCAGCCCGATATTAACAATGTGTCCACATGATTGCCATTTGAATCTTCTGATCTGTTATCTCACACACTTTCAAATATATTGCAACAATCACCACAGAGTACAGAAAGCACCAACTCACATCATGGGCCAAATGCTACTATGATAAGACGCGACCCCAAAGGAATAACAGGAAGTTGCTGATATTCCCCAAACTTTTCCTTAGAGTATCCTATCAAACTGATGTGCTCTTTTCTTTGCAACAACTGTCCACCATAATTTATCAGCACACCAAGACAATGCACATAAGAACAGTAAAGACTACATATTATCTACATGCAAACAAGTTGTAATGAGAAAGTATATTTTACCATTTGTTTCCCATGTAGAGCAGAAATGTGTCTCATTAGAAGATTTCGGGCACTTTAAAGTTAAGAATATACTCAATCAGGCACATCTGCACCTCACACTCCTTTAGGGGAAATACTTCATCAGCCTATAATTCCACCAAAGTACATTACTGGATGCATGAGCCCGGATCTCACACACACACACACACACACACACACACACACACACACAAAAAGTGTCCATTCACAGAGAAAGCTGAGTTTGCCCCTAAAACTCGCTCTCTTTGTGAAACCAGATGACTTCCACCTGCTCTGACCGCTCTGTAATGTTATGAAAGAGAATGATAATGAAAGTATGTAAACTCTGTCACGCACAGTGTACAATGAGTGAGCGATAACTGGGTCATATTAGGCTGAAAAGCCTGAGTGGGAACTGCCACAATAGCCCCATTATGGCTTACTCTCTCCCACTTAGTCTCTCATTGTAACACACAAACACACACACACACACACACACCATGAAGCCAAAATGTTTGTTTCTCATTACCAGAGCGGGCCGGGAACATCTTCTTGTCTGTGGGCTGATTCAGTCCAAGATTAAAAACACTTGAAGCGAGCCATCTTCCCAACTCTCCATGAGAAAAAGTCTCCTAGTTCTCTCCTGGAAGATTCAAACATGCTGCCAGTACTTCACTGCTCTTGGGACAGTTTCAAAGTGAAACATTCAGAGCATCCACATACATCTTTCCACCGGGTCCTCCCCTCTTTCCGGCCCTTTTTCTCTCCCCACTTATCATTCCTTTTTCCCATTCATTTCAACCTAACATGGCTCTGTGATTCCCACAGATTTGATCTCTAAGATCTCTAGACTTTCTCAGATGTACAGACTCGGTGAACACCTGGTGAAAACTTTCCCTTCAATATCCCTTATGGCTTTAAGTAGTACTTTTTTTGTTTTGTTCCTGTTCCATTTGTCACCCCAACAAGCTGTAATTAACAAAGCATCGTAAAAGTGTCGGGTGAGATCACTTCAAACTTATGCGGGGTTACATTGCCTTTGTTTGCTCTTTGAGAAAGTTAAATTTCACAGACATACTTTCTCTCAAGACAAATGTTTCTGTGACTTTAAAAGCATAGAATTACATAAATACTTTACAACCACAGAAAAAGAAGAGGTAAACCAAGAAAAACTGAGTATCACTGTGTTTGCTTTGCTTTGTCACAAACAGCTGAGAAGAGCTGGTACATTTAGAGTCTTTGACAGAGTGCCAGTCAGGAAATTATAGTTGTCACATCCAATGGACATTCAAGTTTTTCCTCTCAGGCTGGAATTTTTAGCTTGGCTGCCGGTGTTGGACACGTTGTCAAGGCCCGGGTAATTGGTTCTGCCTGTCCTGGGCTCAGTTCAACCATGGTGCGTCATGCTGTTTTTGCCACTAATAAAACAGTCGAAGCAGACAGAAATATCTGCAGGCTCTCCTCCTGTGGAAACGTTATGAGTGTCTGTGGCTACACATGTGAAAGATGTAATGAGAAAACAAGTAATCCCCACCAAAGATGGCATTAAAATAACCGCGTCTCTTATGAATCCCACACATAGAAGTGTTAAGTATGACTGTTGGCATGACTCAAGATAGTTTTTCAGATATTTTACTATTTTAATGTCACTCGTGATGACTCTAAGTCTTTCATTCCCAGCTGTAAAATGTCCATTATTCTATTATTATGGTGAGGGTTTGTGTGTTGAATATCTGTTGGAACCATACGTGCAGTGAGCAGTCATCAATTGTTATTAAATGGAAACACACTCCAGATTTTCAGACATGAAACAATTGACCCCTGGTGGCAAAGTCAGTGAAGTGCACACTCCCACCATCAAGACCACCATGACTGTGTCTGACATGTTGTGTCTGATTAGGCTAACTGTACCAGTTACATTCGCAACTCCTGGATGTGTTTGTAGTCCGATGACTGTGCTGTGTAGCTGTCTGGCAAGGTGTCAGAAGTCTTGACTTTCATGTCTGCAACCTAGTGTGCATTGTTGACGTGGAGCTCGAATGGTGGAGTTTTCTGGCAGTGAAGGTTTTATTTGGCCAGCTGAGGCTTTGGGGTTTGCACTGATCCCTGTGTAATTAGACCACATCCCTTTCAGACTAGACAAAATACGTTAACCTACATCTCGCTATAGACACTAATTCTTCACATGGTACAGTTTGAGAGCTAATTGTCAGTTATGTCTTCATAAAGTGTAACAAATGGTAATGTATTGCAATCTTACACTACTCATGACTAGCATGATGTACTGGGACTTTATCTAAATGCTTCTATATGACCCTTGGGTCATGTAAATAATAAACTACCTAATTCCTAATTTCATATACTATTGATCTGGATGGTGGTGTTTAAAATATAGAGTGCATTATTGAGGATTAAATTGATTCACAATGGTATGTATGCCTGCTGCACTAGAGCCACGTGTACTTGATCAGATGTCACTGTGCTCAAGCTTGTATTGTAGACCAGCTGCAGTTTGAGCTCCAGGTGTTTCCTTGTTGCATATGAAGAAACAATCAGGAAGAGCAGTTATGTAGGCTTTAACCGCACTGATGCACACACGCCATTCAGGACAACCGTTTTAACGAATAAAATCCCAGTGTTTCAAACCAACTTGTATTACATCTCAAAATGGGTTTATACATCTCATACAGTCAGTTTCCTAAGTACACTTAACTAATGTAATTTAAGACAATTTGTGCTGCAATGATTCCTACCTACATAAAAGCTATGTTAGACATTTTAGCATTATGGTCCTTTTGAAGACTAGTTTTACCACGTTTGTTTCAGCTAGGATGGACAAATGACTGGACCACAGCCTCCAGAAGGAACATACATTGACTGGACATGTCTTTCTTTACGGTATATTTATTTTTGGACTATACTGGGTTACTTTTAGCTAGGTGTGTTTAATAAATTGGACAGTGCAAGAATCAGGGACTCTTGTTCGACTGGAGAGACTGCACTCTTACCAAGCTTGTAGTTAAGTAGACTCTGAACTGCAGTGAGTAGCCATGTAGCCCAATTTGAAAATGTGTTTATCGGTTCTTATTGATTTAGTTAAGCAATTAAAAAAGAAATCCAATTTCTTAAAAGCTGCTTAATCATGCTAGAAGGAACCGGATGAAGAGCACGTCATGGTTTAACCTAGACCTGTACGGGCCTGCTGAATGATTCACACTACTGTATAGAAACTGAATCTAGGAGCCTCAGATACCCACATTAAAGCATGAAGATCTCGTGGCCCATTGAGATCTGGTCTATGCTGAAAAGGTTAAACAAAGGATTAATTTACCCGTTACTGACCACCAAAACTTCTCAGGATTAGCATGTAGCTTCAGTTAGCCTAACTGATCAACAAATGGTGCGGACCACTTTTACGAAACAAGCGTTTATTAAATAAAAGTAATGCGAAAAGGGGAAACAAGACAGATAATTTGCTCTTTCGATGACGAATGGGTGGCCCTTAAAAGGGCCTTTGGGTGCAAAGTTATTAGCCAGCTAGCTAATACTCCTGCGACTGGGACGAGGCCTTCTTTCCCGCCTTGCCGGAGCTCGGCGCTGCAGACTGGCCGGTCTTCTTGGGCAGCAGGACGGCCTGGATGTTGGGCAGGACGCCGCCCTGGGCGATGGTCACACCGCCGAGCAGTTTGTTCAGCTCCTCGTCGTTGCGTACCGCCAGTTGGAGGTGACGAGGGATGATACGGCTCTTCTTGTTGTCTCTGGCGGCGTTTCCGGCCAGCTCCAGGATCTCAGCGGTGAGATACTCCAGCACGGCGGCGAGGTACACGGGGGCTCCGGCGCCGACTCTCCCGGCGTAGTTACCTTTGCGGAGGAGACGGTGGACACGGCCCACGGGGAACTGCAGACCGGCGCGTGAGCTGCGGGTCTTGGCCTTAGCGCGGACCTTGGCTCCAGTTTTTCCTCTTCCAGACATTGTCGGTTGTCGAGTTTATCTTCCACAACAAATTGCTGCAATCGTAGGAACAGATGAAAGACTAGCCGCACGACCTGCCTATAAACCCTGAGATTTGTCCCGCCCTAAGACGCGATTGGCTCTTGGAGTGAACATAGTTAAGAATGATTGGCTGTGTTAGGTCGGAGGGGGACCGGAAGTCAATGACTATTGGTGTATCTGCTCTGCTCCTAAACCAATCACGATGGGCCATGAGGAAGGAACGCGATTGGCTATTATTTCCCCTGTTATTTGTGAGTGGTCGTATGTGAAGGGGCGAACTTTAAAGACCAATCGAGTATCTTCCCTCCTGCCTTAAATTTTTGGCGCTTTTATACGTTATGCAGTAAAATTAAAGCAGATCTAATATAGAAATGAGAAACACTTACATATTTGGTACATCCCCTGAGTGTAGCTTGCCTGTGAGAGTAAGGAAAGAGCGATTGAAACTCATACACTCATGATCAGATATAAACTTAACAGCAGGCCAGATGTGTGAGGTTATTTGTCTGACTTTTATGACAGTGTTGGCTCATTTTAACCTAAGTAACATTCTCTACACAGGCACAGGGTATTGGTATAAAAAAAAATGTATGTAACTTCCTAAAAAAAATGATAAGATAGCCAGAAGTAATCTACTGATGCTCCAAAAATAATTTATTTGCAATAAATTAAACATTTCAAATATAACAGAAATCATACATATCTTAAACGTTTGCAGGCTCCACCTCTGTGATCCCTTTTATTAGCTTTCCTTTTATTGATGCAAATAAACCTGGAAACGTTATCAAAATCATTTAATTTTATTGTTTTGAAGTCAGTAGAAATATTTTAGATTTTCTCTGACAAAACTTAAATGGACAAAAGTGTGTGTACATTTTTACATACTTTTTGATACAGCAGGTTTCCTCATATCTCAAGCTGCTAGTTGAAGTTTCATTTCTAGCCCTGAGTATATCCACTCCACCCAGCACCTTGTCGTAAACTTTGACAATTGTTGCTCCTAATGCGTCAGCGTCAGCAGCAGAGCATCTCTGAAACCTTCAGAGACCGCAAAGTTCCTTTTTTTACAATTTAAACTGCAGAGCTGAGACCTACATATATTCTAAAAGAAATGCCTTCTTATATACAGTCTATGAGAAATGCATTATGTAATGCTCCTGAATATTAATACAGAATAGGTTTTGCTATATTTAGTTTATGATTATGAGCGGATCACATGTCAGCATTTCCTGTAAAACGATTTTTGCCTGCTACCCATGCGAGGCATTTCGCACTATATAATATGGTGTTGCTGCACAATAATGATAGTTATTGCAATATTGTAATGTCCACATGTGCATCAACTGAAGTCTCCATAATGTGTGTGGATAATGTGATAAACTTCATTGGGGTCAACAGGGGCCACAAGGAGAGCAAGACCTGTTTTTTTTTTTTTTTTTTACTGACAGAAAAAAGTTTAAACTCATTGCCTGGCTTGAAGAGCCTGCGAGAGATCCTGGCTGGTTGTAGTTTCAAAAGCAAACTGAAATGCATTATGATATTCCACAGAAAGTACTTTTATAAAATAAAAAGTACAATAAATATATTAACTTTTCTTCTTATCTAAGATACAACATTGAACAACATTCTAAAACCAATACATTAGCAATTATGAATGGACTGCTAGATTAAGACAGATTTTTTGTCAACTTACTTAAGTATGTGTTTAAAATTACATTTGCATGGAAAAACACACAGCAATGTCTCTATTTTACAGTGCAATGCAACTTAATGACTTGTTTTTTGGGGGGTAAAATAAATAGCACTTGTTTCATGAGAACCACACAATAATAAATTACCGTTATACAACGGAGGAATTGTACATGTGCTGTTACAAAAACAGTCCAAAGTGTAACCAATAGCATCGTACTGGCATCTTTTTATCATGAATAAGTTTAAGAGCGATTCCACCATCTGTCACAATCAAACACTCCGACTATAGTTTGTGTTCAAACGGGGCACAAGACATTTCATTGTGATTATTACCTTCTCCTCAAGCAGCAGATTTCTACTAGAAAGAAACCGATTTCATCATCACATTTTAACTTCAGTGATGTGATTAAAAAGGACTTCTCTCTCCTGAAGGTGCAATGATTTCTCTCCAGAGTAAAGCCCTCCCAGAGGAATGTACAGGTGACAACCCGCCTGCGGTGTTCAGCCTGTCGAAGACTCTTGTAAGGTTGAGTTGTTCTTCTGACAGTAATAACAGAGGCCTTAAAACCCATGTCCGACCCTCTCGATGATAATCAGTTATCCAGTGAACTCGCTCCTCCGTTCGTAGCTTTGCCTTTCGATTTGCCTGATGAGCGGAAAGAGAAGCGTTTGATGAGACGCCGGGAGAAGCTGGCAGACTTTTTACGGCTGATGTTGGTGGCAGCAGCAAAGTTATTGCCCATGTTGGAGATGTCCTCATGGGATTGGCTGAGGCAGGACTCCTTCTCTCGATGTCTTCTGCGGAACAGCAGCTTCGTCCCACTCTGTAGTAAGCCCACTAGAGGAAGCAGAGGGAATACGTCACTGTATTTATGTGGCAATCCACAATTACAGTATTGGGGCCTTCATTGAAAAACACGAACCAATCACTCAACTGCTACTTTTATGAATGAATTCACCAATTTCCTGAGTTAGCTCTCGTATCAAGTTGATATTCAAATAGAATTCAACTCTGATCCATTCAAAACCGCTTTGCTCTGGTTGGATGCATGCTGCAGCATGGCCTCCAGAGGGCAGTAGAGTCCCTCATGCTGTATGGCCCCAAAATCTGTAAATGCATTGTGCTCACTTGAAGTTTTGATGTTATGTAAGGCTATGAAACTGTTCTCTTTAATATAGTAGCAGTGGGCTTTGAAAATAAAAACTTATTTCACATGGACAAAAATAAATCAAAATCTAGTGAAGTGGCAACATGCATAAACAATCTGCAAAAACAATATTTGAATGGCTGAATATTGTGTGTTTAGAGACATCACTGATCAGTGTTAGTGGAAACTGAACCTCTGAAACTATGACGACTGTGTTACCTTTATGGTCCTTGAGGCTGCGGGTTTCCAAGGCACCAGTGGAACCAGTATCTGATTCCACATCGTCCACTGACGGACGCTCCGACACGTCGGAGGGTGTGGTTTCATCTGGGTCCTGGTGATGCCCCGCCCCGAAATGGTTGCCCTGCATGGCTGCGTCCATGGCTGCCGCATAGCCGCTGGATAAGGCGCAGTCATCTTCTGAGAGTGGAACCTGCTGGGTGTTAGGATAATTGAATCAAATTCTTTCCTTCAAAAAATGTTAGCATGATTAATTAAGGGGTTATAAGGGTGATGGGAGTGTGTAACTACTTAAACCTCATTTTGCCCGGCTCCATGTCATTGTATTTTACATTCCTTAAAGGTGAAATCCAGAGCATTGATATAGCAGCAAACAACTATTTCCAAGGTAAAAACATAGTGGAGTAATGTCTACCTGAGCAGAGAATGAAGTTGCTCTCCCTCAGTGTGTGTTTTTATCCCAGCTTCTCTGTGCTTTGATTACAAAGGCGGGCCGGTCCGTGCATTTTAGTGCACGTGAGTCTCTCTGTGGCGTTCCCCATAGCTCATGCCGGGCTCCCACTCTTTTCTAGAGATCATTTTCAGTGATGACCCAGCTGTTATGACAGACGGGGATCATGCCATTCATTATTATTTTCCTCTCTGTGGAAGTCTGGTTTAAAACACGTGCAGTCTGTGGCTGTAACTTATTTATGCAACCATCTCTTAGGTGCTTAGAAATTATATATATATTAAATAATACAATCAGAAAAACTACCAAAGTTACTAGCCAGTGTGAGGAATTTAAGTTTTGGATATTATGTGATACAGTGTATTTACTTGTAAAGGTTTTGAATCAAGGAGTGTTGTCATTTCATGCATTGAGTGAAAGAGGGGGGGTTTGAGGAATGTGCTGGAGGGGGGGTTGTGTGAAAGTGGCTGGGTGAGGTGTGAAGATCAAAACAATGGATCAACGGCCCAGGAGGGGCTTGTTGGACTTCAGCCAATCATTGAACTGATCGATATGTAATGTGTGACTTTTCAGAGACTTTGGGGGAAAAAGGAGATGTGAATCCAGGAGAGATTCAGACCTCCTCGGTACCATGGGGCAGATACACCAATCTGTCGTGTGGTGCGGACGGGGCCTCAATTTCATGGAATTTATATGTTTGTTTTGTTATTAGTAGTGTGATTCGGTTTGTAACTGTTTGTATCTGTTTTTATGCTTCTTGGATAATAAATCCATTTGATTTTGACTTAAACCTGCTGTTGTGTTTTGTGTTTAACATCACTAAAACTTTTTTTCACGTCTTCCAGGACCAGTGGGAACCCTGTCACCCCGCCGCTGTGCACTGCGGTTACAGCTTATACCCACGTTGTCATCGCAGAAGCGTAGCACCCACCCTCCGGTTCCCCCTCAGGTAAACACTGTTAGCACTGACAGCACGGTTGCTGTTGTTTGCACTGTTAGCACCGTTAGCTGTTAGCACCGTTATCTGTGAGCCGCCGGCTGAGATCCGTTTGGGGCCAAACTATATGATCTGCAATCCGTATTGAACACCTTTAAAAGTAGGTTTTGTAGACTTGAAATAAATTATTTTTCACTGAGATAAATATACTGTACTGTATGTCTAAATGACTGGTGATGGCACAAATTCAACAATCCACTACATTTGACACAGTTTCCATTCCCTGACCTTTGACACGCCCGAGATGATCAGCGTGCTCCTCTTGGTTGGCGTCTTCCGTGCTACTTTGGAGGCGGACTCTGTCAGCTGCCGGATGGCCGTCTCTGCAACAGGATCCAGGCCATTAGAGAGGCGGCTGCTCTCTGAGCAACAAAAACACAAACATGTCACGATAAACAAACAATCAGCACTATACTAGTAAACTGCATATATAAAAAGGTGCACATTATTGAATATATTTCTGTTGCAGTACAAGTCAATTAGAAAATGTATGCTTTATCAGAAATATACACAAAGAGCCCATTGTTGTATTGTATTGAAATACAGAAATCATATATGTCGTTAGATCTGTCAAACGTTGTCTATCGGGTTTATCATACTTTTTTGCTTTTTGCTTTGGATAAGCAAGAAGTTTCTCTGCGTAACCCTGTTGTGAAACTAAATTAAGGTTTTTTGAACAGGAGTTCCTATCCCGAGAGTGCATAATGTGTACTAAAAATTGCATTCCTCTTATCTTGTGTTACAACGCAGCTTGCTGCTTATCCTACTTTGCATTTGTTATGTAAAACAACATCTGGCCTTTCAGTCTAGAACTCACTGCTGAGGTTGGGGCTGGGGCTGGTGCTGCTTCTGCCATCTGACAGGATAGTGGGTTTCCTCTCAGTCACCTCCACTTTGGACGGCGAACGCAAAGGGGAATCACCTAAAAGGCATCACAAATATTTGATGTCATTGTTTAATACCGACCACAACATTCTTTCATATCTTCTTGTACACCTAACCTGGCACAATGTAATACTTTACTCTGTGCATGTACCTGGACTGCGGTCCAGCTTCAGTCGAGACTGGACGGTCGTGATGGTGGTGACTATGGTTCCGTCTGGCATGATGGTTCGGTCCACATCGACTTTCTTGGTGGGGGTGAGTGAGGAACGAAGCGGCAAAGCATTGTGGGTACTGCGGGCCTCCTCTGTTTCCACATACAGCAGCTGGAGGATTAAGAATAATCTTCATTTAGCTAATAAAGCGTAACGTGGGGGTGGGCACTTTATTAACGAGGTGGCCATTTAAACTGACATCTGGACCTGCCGGGGAAAATTTCAGACAACTTATCAGTGGAGGCACAACAGGTTGCAGGAGAGGTACAGGAAAACAGGGAGTGTACCAATATGAACTGTTAGCCTGCAGAGATGAAGCAGATGTTCATTCAGATGTCGTCTTTGATGAAATATGTTGATAGCAAGAAGTGGAAAAAAAAGGCAACAAGTTGGCTGATGAATAGGTCAGAAGAGATCTGAGACAGCAATCACAGGTATGACAATGGACTATGTATCCGCTGTTATGCAACACTCCCTCTCCTTCTGTGGTGAATCTCTGTTTCGTTCCAGCCTGCTTGACGTTAGATAATAACGTGTGATGTAACTGTACACTTCAAAGCACGAGAATGGCTTTGAGAGAGCTTTCCATTATTTTCACAGAAATGAGCTGCATCTTGTTTCCCACCTCTGCTGTGACGGTGGCGTTGGGTGCCAGGCCGTGGCCGGGGCTTATTGACAGCGTATGCTGTCCAGTGGGAACTTTGCACCGGAGGTCCACGGCGATGCAGGCGTGGCCAGGCAGGAATTCTATCCAGATTTAAAACAAAAACGAAAGTCTTAACATAGTTGTACAAAAAGCGTGAAAGCAGTTTCTTTTTTGTAGTTCTGAGGCCATAATGGGAGCATCTCCTGACATTTTATACACCCTAAAACGCTAACCATTACAGTGAGCCTGCCAACAGTGCATTTGGGGCATGAAGATTTTGCTTAAGCAGTCTAAACATTCCTGCTGATCAGGTTTCTCAGACGCAGCCAACACTAAAACGCTATCGAGCAATGCCTTACGTTCCCTTTTGCCGTTCCGCTCCAGAAGTCTTACTCTCAGCTCTTTGGTCTCTAGGCCCGGCTCTCTTCAACACAAAGCAAACAACTGTGTAAGAATTCAAGTAAAACCCCACTATGCAAACAGTGTGACTTCTTCCTCAAGCGGATTTTTCCTGAAAAACTTCAAATCTTAAATAATATTCTATAACATTAATATTCGTTGGCATGAATGTACACAATCATGACTCAATAACTGCAGGTAGGCGTCATGGCTGCCATCTTACAGAGTGATTTCTTCACTCCATTCCACCGGGGCGTTGGGGTTGCTGGGCGCAGGCAGGAAGCATGTTGACCTCTCTGTGGAGGGTTGGTTCAGGCTCAGGACACAGCACAGCTCCCCCGATCTAGACCACTGACCTGAATGCAGAAAGCCAGACAGTGAGACCTCGGCTCTCCGCAGGAAGCTGGACGGACATGATCTGACGCTGAGGGAAAATGTCTGACCTTTACTTAAGGTCGCCCTGAGCTGCCGGAGCAGTAGTCGTTTCACTAAGACACTCTGGGAAACAGAGTTCAATCTCACTGATAGATGGTCCATGGGAGCCTGGGAGCGTGCAGACAAAGGGTGACGGGTACAGGTTCTATCATTTAGTATCCACTCACAGCAATTGATTTGTTTAAAAAAAGATCCTTGTTATTTACTCTTATTGCTGCGAAGGTAGCACAACGCATGTTTTCTCACCAGAGGACTGGATGCACAGGTCTTGAGGTTGAGGACCATGGCCGGCTGAGTGCTGAACAGAGTATCCTCTACCAGCCCCTTAATCGTGTCCAGGTCTGCACCCCCCTCAGTGCCCTGAGATGAAAAAGAAGCAGCTGATAATTCTCTGATGATAAACCAAAGCATGGGAGGTCAACAAACTCAGCTATAGACACAACTGGGGCTTTTAATGCATTTGTATGCCTGATATTATCTTACTTAATAATATATAATAACATGCAAGATTATTAATGATAATAAACATAAAATATCCAAGAGGAACAAACAGACTTTAACTGTTTGCTGTTGCTGTAATCTAAAAGCCATGTAGTTTGTTCAAAAAAGCAGCTTTGGAGGATTGAACCATTCATACCCAGTGGTTATTATATATTATATATAATAATCAGTGGGTCTGCCCAATAACTGTCTTCAGTAGTAGTTCAATTTCTTCTGCTTAATATATGTTTTTATGTTACTTTACTGGCGTTGTTAAATGCTCGTTAATGTAAAGATAATTATGCATTTGATATGCATGCAACCTAGTTTGTAAACTGTAAACGGGTTGAGAAGCGAGGCCTCTGCTGACCATATGAGACGGACATATCATATTAGTGGTGTCAGTATCCGATATTCTCACTTGTCTCTGCAGCTTGCATGGAGACACGCTCAGAGTAAATGATGGCTGCTTGGAAAGAGTCCAGGACATCAGCAGACCCTCGTCCTCCACCTCCTCCAGACACACCACCACCTGACGGAGACCGACAGCAGGTTAACCGTCATGCTTTTACGATATAGTATAAGAGTAATAATATTAAAGGATTAAACGTGTAGAATTTCTCATTATTAAATAATCACCACACTATTTCATTTTGATGATTTAGTAAAACAGGACTCTTCCTAGAAGATTGTCCGTCTCTGCTAGCTTCTACAAAACACTTACATAATAAAGCAACATTTGTAAGAAGCGAACAAGCAGAAAACGCTTTATTCACAAAAGTAAAAGTTTGTCATCATGCTAGATGGTGTAAGGAGGGACGCACAGTTGGGAAATCACATGATTATACTCTTCCCTCTAAGCTTCCCTTTCACCGTCCATTTCTGTCTTCCACCGTGACGATTTCCCGGGAAGATTAAGGCTCCATTTACAGTCGTGGGAAACAAAATGCTCTGTGTCCTGTGCAGTGTTGCCAACTCTTTTCCAATGAAAGTAGCCAGCACTACCTCCCAAAACTGCTAAAAGTCACCAGATGACGTCAAAGGACAATTTGCATATTGGCGATGTGATGGTGTATTAATTTGCATAAAGATGAGCGTTTTTTTTCGGTTGCAGCGACGGTGCAAGAGGAGAGGGAGAGATCCTGTGATGTTGGCAGAATAACTAGTCACTGTGTTTAGCATGGGGAATGAATTACAATATAATATATTTGAATATATTTCGTGGCATTTCCCTTATGGTCTGAATAAATTGCTAAATGTGTTGCTTGTAGTAAACTCTGAGTGATCCAGTTGCTCTCTGACTAATGATAAATGGGTTCTTAGTTGTGATAAATACTTGCACTACTGAAATAAGAGAGGCTATTGATTGTCATGAATAGTAAAATATACTTAAGACTCTTTATTTAATGACAGTGATGGCGGGATTACACGTGATTCTTTACATTTGAATAACGATGCAAATGATGCTCCTGAGATTCTCATTTGTTTTGGAGGCCTGCCCTCAAATGTGCAAATTGCAAAAAATCCATGTGGTGTGCTTTCGTACCTTTGCCACCATTGGTGCTATAGTGATCTGATAGGTCTCCATGGAAATGGCAGCTGGTGACTGCTGAGTGACCGTCACAGGAAACGTCACTGTGTCCACCCAACATTTACAGTGTAAAACCTGTAAAACAAGAAGAGGGCTGTCGAAGGAAAATACAGAAATGGCGGAAAACGTTCATGTTTTGACACAGAAAATGTGATTTTTTTTTTGTCATGTATTTCCCCAATTAAAATAAACTGGGTGACTGGCTAAATTAGTTAATTAGTTATAGCTGTAATTAACAGAGACTACGAAGATCACGTACCATTCGGTGTGCCGATTTGTCAGTGCAGGTCACACTATCTATTTCAGAGGCAGCAGTTAACTGGAGACTGCTGTCAAAAGTGATCTGGATGGAGCTCTGGGAGAGACAGAGGAAGAGAACAAATGTCCTAAATATTACATAAGAGAAAGAGGAGTGACTATCAGGGATGACAGAAACGACTGTGCTGCAGTGATGAATGAAGCCTTTAATGTAGCTGGGAAGCAGTTAGTCACCATCCTTATGGATCTTTACTCAATTAGTATGCAAATAAATGAACTGCTGCATTTCATGAATTTTAAGCATGTTTGGTATCAGACAACTAGGTAGTTCATTGATCTTTGCTCAGAGTGATTGAACTCACATATGCTCCTGATCACCTCATCCACATGCTAATCACACAATGCTTCTGCTTCCCTTCCACAGCAACCTCACAAGCTTCGCGGGAACAGAAATGTTCCTCTTGGCAAACTTTGAGTCAAGATTATTAATTAAGTCTCATGCGGAAAATGTACATGAATCAATAAACAGACTCTTGTAAGGTTCTATTATGTGTATGTAAACAAACATGAGGCTATTGTATTTACCACGCATGACAAAGCACAACTGTGGTTTTAAGTCCAGGCAGATCTGTGGATATGTGCACTCAGATGAGCACTGACAAAGGGTGGCAAGTAGTATGTTCAAGTTAATATGAGCTTCTGTCATTATGCAGAAGTTGTGGATTGATCAGGCTGCTTTAGCCCCACAGCAGCGTCCATTATGAAGACTGCATCAGTCAATGCTTAGTCATGCTTACAGCAAGGCAGCTTTCACTGTTGGACTTGGTAGACACCCCCTAACAAAAGGAATCTCAGTTGTGAGAAAAGAGTCACCAGAACCGCGGCAACACCAGTGGCCTACTATCACTGTGTGTGTGCCAGAGGATCTGTTTCAATAGACGGCTTTCGACTGGCTCGAGAGATGGAAGTGAGAGAAAACAAATCCCCTATTGTTAGGGCATATGTTCCTCTAGCTCCAAGTCCAATCTCTATCAAACACAGCAGTGGAGGCGGGGTAGAGGTGGGAGTATGATATAACAAAGTTTGTGGTGTGTGTGTGTGTGTTTGTGTGTGTGTCTGTGAGCATGTGCAGGCGTGTTTGTGTATGTGTGTGTGTGTCAGTGTTTCAGCAAAAAGGGCAGGAAGCCAAAAGCAATGCTGCAACCTTACGTAGGTTCCCTGGACCAACACTGCAGCCACATGACTAGAGCGTACTACCGGCTGTGTTTACTTCGGTTGGTTGGGGCTTCTAAAACTGCTCAGTCACCCAACCAACCGTTCATTACATCCAAAGTGCAGAACGAATATGATGTGAGAAATCCATTAATCACAATATTCTGATTGTGTGTGGCTCATAGATCGGCATTACTAAAGGTTTGTGTCACAGCAGTCAAACCCCACTGGCATCTTTTCAATGAGGCAAATTGGAGTCAGTACAATGTTGTGAGCAAATACTCCTAAATGTCAGTATGTTTTTTTGGGATACGCACATTCCACAATAATGAGCACGATGAGAGCAAAATAGTGTTACGTTTTTAGATTTGTTTTCGGCATTTTGCCTTCATTAGTTATCTGATAGTGTAGACATAAACAGGAAATACGTGGGGGGAGAGCGTGTGGGATATGACCACAGATTATATATAAATATGTATATGAATGTGTATGTAAATATTTATATATACTCTTTATATACAGTTTATGACATCCACAAATGTCTGTAATGCTGATATGGTACACATCACCACTGGGCCACCAGACGCTCCCCAGTGTTGCCCTGTTTTTGCTATTTTTAAGCCTAAAAAGCCTCAGGTCCAGATCACAATTTATGACAAGCCACAGTGCATTTACAGCACAGATTTGTGTTTTTTTTATGTGAAACATGGCAAAGACAAACGAACACTTTATTTTTTTTCAAATCACTTCAGGACACACAGCAGCACAGGCTTGCCAATATGTGTCAGTCAAAATCTTGCGTGCCTGAAGGAAGGTTGGGTCGGTTGTTGTTTCCACTGATATGCTTTTAAAATCACTTTCTAGGCTGAACTATAATCCAAGCATCTTATATTTATCTTATATTTAACATTATTAAGCGTACATGCTTGTAAATTAGAATGGCAGCCATTACCCAGTTTTAAGGTCTGTTTTGGACCCTGAAATTAAATATGGTTGGACATTTTTAAATATGATTTACTCATTTGGTAAAGCCTTGAATATCTAACTAGTTTATGGTTTTCTATTCTTTAAAAGGGAGTCCACTCAGATATTTGGCATCCATTGGCTTTTTAGGTAGCCATCTGGTGCTCTGTGGTGTTGTGCATCCTCCTGGCAGAGGCTGCAGAGCTAATTTTGTCATGGACAGGGCAATGCTAGCAGCATGACCTCTGATTCGTCCTTGTGCAACACTGCTGTTCGACTGTGTGTGTGTGTGTGTGTGTGGAAGGTATTTCTGGAAAGACACTGTTCCTGAGGACATCCATGGTGTCACTTCAGGTTTGTCAGAGTCACCCCCTTTGGGTTCGCCTGGCTGAACGCCTCTGAAAAGCATGTGGGTCAACCAGAAATACCCCCCCCCCCCCGTGGCTTTTGTTGACCCTCATCCTCCTTTCCCTTCCTTTTCAGTACTGTGTATCTCAGGTTCAGGCTACAAAAGGGTACAAACGTTGTGGTGTCGAAATAGCTATCCAACGTTCATGTTTCATAATTCATAGCATTCTATACATTTGGCTAACACATGCTTCATGACTTTTTTACCCATAGTACCAGTGCGGCTGGAGGGGCTGGAGGGCCAAAAGTACAGTTTATAAAAATTATAACGAGAAGGAACAAGACTGAAAGTGAAGCTTCTATGTGAAGCATTTAGAATTTAGCTTCACTTTATAATTTTTTTCAGGTACAAAATTATATTAGAATAATGCGCAATGTGTGTCTCCACTTTAAATGCCGAGTCAGAGGAGCCACCTTGTAGACCAATGCCTGCCACGGAAAGTTTGTGTTGTTAAAATAGAACTTTGTGGTGAAGTTCAATTTCATCAACGGCTGTGAGTGACTGACGTTAGTTTCCTGCCCTGTCATTGCAAATGAGTGCTGAGTGCTTAACGTACCCCCTCGTTAAGAAGAAATCTACTTGAGCATAATCACACAGCATTAATCATCTACCGGCAGCTCACAGTCAGAGGGGAGAAGTGAACTGTGGCCCTCAAGATAATCACCAGGCTCTTTAAAATTGCAGATCTTGAATGGACAGGGAGCTTCCTTCCCTGCAGATGCACACTTGTGTGCTCTATTAGTCCTCCTCTACCACCCACTGAACCCAGTGACAATGGCTTGCCACCATGTGTCAGCTGCAGATGCACACACGGTTTGCGATGCTGTTATGATTTGCTGGTCTGAAGAGGCCAACCAGTTCAGTCCTTCAAGCCTCCTCCACGAAATACTCGGGCCAGAAACAAGTGAGCCGTGAAACAAGCCGCATCGTGGGGTTACTGTCCAAAAAGAGCAGGAGGTGCTTTTTATGCTTCTGAACAGATTCAGGAGTCTATAATCTCTCTGTCTGAAAGGCTCAGTGGAACCACGGTGTGCAAACCAAGCTAATCTGTGAACGCACACAGCTAAATCAGAATTATGCTTATTTTGACTTCATAAAGTGTTCAAGGGTATACAAGTAAATTGAATGAACTATCGTGACTCCATGGAAATCACCACGTGTACGTGTTTTTTGTTATTGCAGCAAGTGGGCATCCTTCTATTAACATTGTCGTGGGGGAGGGGGGGGGGGGTGTCTAGACATATCTGCAAAATTGTGATGAATCTATCTCACCCACTCTGCTTTTTACCCTGGGGTAGTAATTGTCTCCTCTAATATATATCTTATGAAAGGCATTCACCGTCTATACAAATTCATCTGAGGAGGAAAATACAAATATCTTGGCTAAATATCTTCAAGGCTGAAGCTGAATGGGGCACTGCCACTAACACCATGTCTCTTGTCCGTACAAAACCAAATGACGCTTTAGCTTGTTTGCTGCTGTTTTCTATATTTATGTAACAACCCCCCCCACCATCCTGTCACGATTCAGCCCCCCCCAGAGCATTTTTTTGTCTTGTCCTGCTGTTTTGAAGACTGGAATTTGGGAGTCAGGGTCGGGTCTCCCGTCAGGACGGAGTGTCGTCATACAGCATTCTGACGACACTCGACATTAGTGTCACAACATAAGCTGTTCTGAAAGCGAGTGCCGTTTACACGTCAGCATTGCTGAGTTCCTGGCTTATGCCGCTGTCTGCTGCAGTGAGCAGAATATTGACGAGGACAGCCGAAGCAGACCAGTTATTCAAAACTACAGACAGTGACCCACTGGCACTTGTGAAATCTTCATAATAAGATTGAGAGAAGATAGGTAAAGCCCCATGAATACCAAATAGCCGCAGTAGAAGCGTTAAAAACAAAAGCAAAAAAAACTTCCTTTCCTGACTGCTGCTGAAATATCCATAATGTTCATCCATATTACTGAGAACAGAATACAATGGCATCTGTCATTCGTGCAGAAAACACAGATCCTGAAACTAATATCATTTTTCACAATGATCCAAAGAGAGACTGTATTAAAAACCATTATGTGTATAATTCTACAGATAATGGTGATATAATGAAATCAAATCCAGTTTGAGTGTTACATCCTTTGTCGCCTAGTCTTTGAGTCAGATGTCAGAAGTCAAAAACACAGCTTTATACTTCAAAAGATATGAAATGCATAACTTTGATGGTATAATATATGGCATACTCATTTATCTAATCCTCAGCAAGAGAGCGATGAGAAGTATTCCCCAAAATGTCCATCCTTTAATCACCTAATCCTTTTGTCAGAATAGTTGATTCATTTTCTGTCAATGAATTCAGCTCTACATATAATTATTTCATGGAGGGTACAGATGGATATTTGTACCATGGAAGGTTTTGTAATGTAACTTTTCTGCTGCAGTGTTTCAAGTCTTTATTATTATTTGGGGTCTCACAAGGTGTTGAGTAAAAACAAAATCCACTCTAATGCTTGACCAAACATAACGAGGTCTGCCGGGGGAAAGGTTTTTGCTGACTTGCCAACCTTCCATGCGGGCTAATTCAACTTGCCTTTTATTTGGATACATTTCAACATAATTATTTAAAGGCCTCTGTCAGCATCAATCTTAAATGCTGCAGAAGTACTTAGGTTAATTCTATAAAGGAGTTGCGTGCTAATCCCTACATGATGATACTGAAGCCATATCTGGGTGCTGTGTTCCTGCTGAGAAGCTCATGTTTTTGCTGGATGTACTAACATAATCAGGAAATGCAAGTTGGAGGAGAACGTGAGTCTTGGGGGATTACATTTTGGGCCAGCTGCTCTAGTGTCTTTTTTTGAAGTGGCATGGCAACATGCCCGGCAGGTGCTTATTGTGTGTGAGAGGTGAGGAATGCCAGGTGACTCGCTTGTGGGCACTTAATACTTGCAGGTTTTTCCAGTCCGTCTTTTTTTTGTGAGGAGGTGAAACACCACAACAACAAACCAAGTTACAACTCTTGAGTGTAAACCGCACAGACCAAAGGACAGAGTCTACTGGCTAATATAACATTGATGTATAATGTTACAACTTAATAATGAACGGCGTGGAGGCCCAACATGTGACCTTTAAGCTACAAGACGAGGCCACACCGGCTCTTAGACGGACTCCTGGAGGGATATCTATTCAACTAGACGTGTTCGTAATTTGTTATTTCAATATCAAGTTCAAGGTTTCATTAACATCCGAACAAGTGATTTGCATATGGCCCAGACACATTTAGAATAACAGACTGCTCTGCACGCAGACACAATGACTAGCAGATATTTCCTTGTGACGAGTGGAAGCTGTCGGGAGGCTTTGGCTTCACACTCTCAGTTCACAAACTAAACACCACATGGACAGACACACACTGAATGCTTGTCTCCGTCTCCTTCCTCCAACACTGAGGCATTTGCTCAGTCTGGAAATTATCTTACAATAAACATGATATACTTCATCACTGCCAGGGTAAAAAGCCTTGTATCTACTGTTTTTTTTTTTTTTTTTCCAGCATTTCAAAAGCCTGAAGGTCATACAGTCATCATAGATGAATCCCATCGAGGAGCATGAAGGTATGGGGTTCCTACGTACAAACATATCCATAGCAAACTTGTTTTTTTTTTAAAACATCCCCTTTAAATTGAATCACTAAGCCTTTCTTGTGTGTTTAGTTCTGCCAAACGGCTATTGAGTTACTAATTATATCCCAAACAGAGTAGCTGTGCTATGAGCAACTATAGCAACTAGGTTGTGTTTTAATTTATTCCTCACCTGGAAACCTCATTAATCTAACTCTCACTAAACACTTCCAAATTCACCGAAGGTTCACTCCAGTGATGTGGAGTTTCTTGGTAACTGAGAGCAAAGCTCACAATGGATCAACCAATTAGGCCGTTGTAAGATAACTCAGCTGGCACGCTCCAATTTATCGCCACATATCAAAGGGAAGCAGTTCCGAAGAATCCCACTTTAGACGAAGAAACATGAACATGTCTGTGCTCTGGCTTTAGCAGTTTGTACGGTATATTAAAGTCACTGTCGTGTATCCTCCCCGTTGTACACTTCACACAAACACTGTCAGACTTTAAAGGCAGAGTTTGACATTTTGGGAATTGTGCTTTTTCTGGCAGAGACTTAGATGGGACAACCAATACTGCTCTCATCTGTTAAATGTGACGCTCGAGCCAGCAGGCGGTTAGCTTAGCTTAGCATAAAGACTGGGAAAGGAGGGAAACAGCTAGCCTGTCTACCTCCAAAGGTTAAAAAGAATCCGCTACCAGCAAAAGTATTTCTTAAAGATTTCCAAGTATTACTGAGCTGGGTGGTTTTGTTGAAACATTAACTATATTTCCAATATGTATATATACATCACAATATGGCAAATGTATGCAAAATCACACGTCTAGTCATAACATTTTAGTAAAACAGATAAAACATGAAAAATTATTTTAAAATCTAAGTTAATAATTTGCTCTGAATCATTAAATTGGCAGAATGTTGTAAAATGACAACACATGATGATTACATCATCACGATACACTACCAATGAATATTGATATTATGGCCCAAACATGATAATAATAATATATTTTTTACTCCCGTCTGTTGTTTATTTGTTCACAGAGTAAAAAAAGACAAGATAGATAGATAGATAGACTTATTTGGGTGCTAAAACAAGGAAGCAACGAGTATCTTGCTAAACAAGCAGTGGCCTGTTAATTGCATTGTTAGGTTAAGCGTCAAGTATGCATTTTTTCCGAACCGATGTGCAACACTTGCACCATCACTGATTGAGCCTTTCTCCAAACACACAAAAGTGTTCACTTGAACATCTGAGGGAGGCTTTTTAAATCAGCCACGGTGAGGTGACCCATATGAATCAGAATCGAGTGCTGTTTGTTGTGCACGTTCGCTCTGTGGATTGATCCGACCCCTTTTTAACTCCCCGCCAACTCATCTTCAAAACACACAGAATTTCTGAGTGGGGTGTGTAGAGGATCCATCTCCTCGCTCGGTGCTCACAGCAAGCATCCGACTGTGTGTCAGACTTTGAGTCCCACGGATCAAAGAACTATTTGAAAGGAGAAAGACCTTTTAGAAACTTGCTCTAAGCCTCTAATATGTAACTGTCTGTAGTGCTCACCACACTGAATCCAGTGTTTCTGTGTGAAGCAGTTACCAACTGCAGTTTTAATACAATTGGATTCACTAGGTTGTGAGTTTGAGGAAAGGCGAGCCAACCATTCTCCTGTCTTGAGCAACAACATAGATTTTGACTCTTCCCACTGTGATCGAAACACATCCATCCCCCCCCTCCCACAGGCCGGGGTATCAGACTATTTTTATGAAGCGTGGGTGTTCACTCCGCGAATGCGCTTACTGGTCTCGCCTCTCAGCTCTTATGTGCATTGATTCAGAGCTGTTACGCAACGCTCAGCCCCCCCATCCTCTTACCGATTAGACACTCCGACACCTCCACCTCGCTGCCTACACACATTTACAGCGCACACCAACTGCATAAACCTTGCTTAACTATTTATGCCTCTGCTTAGTGGAGTAACCTTAGGCGTGGTCCTCTACACAGTGCCATCATGTTTATTCAGCTCTCATTTGCAATATGATAAGATCTCCAATAAACAACTCACCCCGTGTCTGCAGGCTTGCTCATTCAGAGCTTTGACCCAGGTCCGCTGCCAGTGCTCCCTGAAGGACTTAAAGGAGAAGAGAGAGGTCAACAGGCCTTTCACCCCGGCCTCGGGCATAGGTCCTCCATCCCGGCCTAAGCGGAGCTTCAGCAGGAATCCCCACACACCTCCAGCCAGGCTCTGGTGGGGCTGTGTGACGGGGAGCTGCTGCCCGGCTGGTCCCTTCCTGTCCTGCTTGTCTGCTGTCTTCCTGGATCTCCACAGACGCAGTACGGTCAGCAAGTACTGACACAGCCATCCCAGCACAATGAGCAAGGAGGTTAGAAAGAGACCCACCAGACACAGCCAGCCCAACTCCTGCAGCTCCATCAGCGTCTCCTGGAGCCTCTCATGTCACCAGGTCCAGGTGGAAATATCAGGACTGTCAGTCAGAGCAGATCAGCCCCCTGTAGCCTGTGAGTGGCAGCAAAAGACAGCCAGTCATCTTGATTCAAAGGGTAACGTTATTAATAAGTTATAACTGAGGAATAACCCATGGATGCGCCGACATGGTGGCTATGACCGCTTTAATTGTAATTTTCTTCTTTTTAGATCACGTTAAAAAAGGTCACGTGTGTGTGTGTGTGTGTGTGTGTGTGTGTGTGTGCGTGTGAAGCAGAAGCCCATGTACTGACACTGCGCTACCGTTACGTATGTTAGATATGTGAGAATGAATCGTGCATTAGCAAAGAGGACGGTGTTAGCGGACAAAACTCAGAGAACAAATCGTGGCTCCATACCAACCTACCGTTTAACTTAAACAGTCCGTGCTGCAGGCTGCAGGGAATCGAAAGCAATGCATTGGAAATGTGAAGCTGGCTTCATGGCGATATGCATCCAACAACTAATGTGTTTGTCCCATCTCCGAGTCATCAGCGATGTTTGGACCGGTGTCCCTCTGCAGACATTTATCGATTCAGAATAAAGCCTCCTCCTCTCGGTTTGTGCGTTACAGATATCAGTGGGTTTCAATTCTCCGCTGGTCGTACCCTCCTGCCTCTGTAACCGCTCGTCAATGATGATTCGACAAAGAGCGGCAGTGGCCCACAGGTGGCGCTGCAGGAGACGAGCACAAAGGCAAAAAGGAAGTGAAAGGCAGAGCCTTCAAAATAAAAGCAGGAAACGTCAAACTTCATTTTCAAATGTTTCTTCTTTTTTTTTTGCACCCATCCCACAAGTCTTGGTTATCTACAATATACAATATCAACTGCCTTCTGAATTATCACACAATCTATCATCACAATCAATTCATCACATGATCAACATTATTGTTCACAAAATAAAATTCAAAATGAATCCCTCCATCCCCATATATCTGCACAAGTGAAATGTAACATCATTTTAAGATATTTGTACTTAATTTTTTCTTAACTTGTGTGCTACTTTATACTTCTCCTTTTTGACATGACTATTATTACTAGTTACTTTGCAGATTAAACTTTAATATAGACCTACAACCAGCTTCAATAGTCTTGTGTTATTTACACTTTAATGCATCATCACCGTATAAAGTATAACCCTAATAATATAATATATGATGATCTCTTATAATTTTGAGTAATGGGCCTTTTTTTGTATAGTATAGTACTGATATCTGGTTAGATACATTTGGTTGAATATACGTTTGTACTTTTTGAATGCACGGCTTGTTTTTTAATGCAATAGTTTAAAAATGTTGCATTCCATCAAGTTATGGATCGAAATACTTATTCCATCAGTAATCTGTATTTGGCCATTTTACCTCTTCCCACTGACAAAGTCACATGTCCTGTATTTAAAGCAAGGAGGCTGATAGTTTTTTATTGTGTGTTTGTTTGTTTTTATTATAATGTTGTATCCTCATCTCCTCATGCCAAAAGGCTGGTTGGACGAATGTAAAATAAGATGCTGGCATTTTTGAAAAGAAAGAAAGAAGACAGGCATATACACTCAAAAAACTATTTTGACAGCAGACCACCGACTACAGACAGCAGAAGACGTCACTTCCGTGTCAACACGGCAGTGGCAGGAAGCTGTTCAAACTAAATGTTTGTTTACATGTATGTCAAGTGAGCAATAACGTAGTGCGGAGGGAACGGTCTTAAAAACAGCACGAATACAGTGGTATTTTGTTCAAAAAAAAAGTTTACAAATTGTATGTATTTATTTTAAAAAATCGCTTTAATGCAACAACTGTGACCTTTTGAATATAATTTTATTTTGAAGATATTGACCGGATGTTCCAGCTCCCCGTAACACTCGGGAAATGGTTAAACAGACGTGGAGTTCAGACAACCAGTGAGCAAATATTAACAGCAATAACACGTAATGCAAGATGTTATGGATTACCAATGTAACTCATGGACTTATTTTCCGTTGACGCCGGAAGCGTATTCCGCTTTGAAATAGCGATGTGACATGTTTTTACCTCAGTGAAGACAGCCAAAGCTCGTTCATCGATCGCCTGAAGGGGTAACGTCAGATTAGCTTAGAAACGTGACTTGATTTTTCAGAAACCCACCAAAAATGCCTGGAAACATGTCACCAGTACCCGTCCTACCGTTGGTGATCAACTGTTTCCTGTCTATCGTCGGCTGCATGGCCACATTGAAACTCATCCCTGCTTTCAAAGACCATTTCATCTCAGCCAGATTGTACGGAATGGACCTAAACAAAACGTCCAAAAAGGAAGTGTGAGTAATTGTGTTATCTATCTTATGATCTGTTAGCATAAATACTACTTTAGGTAAAAATGTGTCTTTGTTCGGAAGCCAAGTGTGCTCATTCCCTGCTCTGATTCTCGTTTTATTTCTCTCCCTGTTCGCAGCCCAGAGTCCCAAGGAGTCATCAGTGGGACAGTCTTCCTCATCATCCTCTTCTGCTTCATCCCGGTGCCTTTCCTTAGCTGCTTTGTAGGAGATCAGTGCAAGGGCTTCCCACACGATGAGGTGGGTCGACTGATGCATAATAATAATAAACCTGTTTGTTTCTCTCACATCTGATACTCAACTCTGTTCTCTGTGTTGTTGTCTTCTTATTTTCGTAGTTTGTGCAGCTGATTGGTGCACTTCTGGCCATCTGTTGCATGATCTTCCTGGGCTTTGCTGATGACGTGCTGAACCTGCGCTGGAGACACAAGCTCCTGCTTCCCACCATGGCTTCCCTTCCACTGCTCATGGTGTATTTCACCAACTTCGGCAACACGGTCATCGTGGTGCCCAAGCCCTTCAGAGCCCTGCTGGGGCTGCATTTGGATTTGGGTGAGTTGTGCGGCTGTTTGCGGCATTGTCTGGTTAGCAGCGGGCTAAGCAATGTCCGGGTGCTTTTCTACCCCAGTCACATCCTCCAGCTCCCAAGATGTTTCCAGGCCAGATGGGATAAATAATGCCTCCAGCGTGATCTTTGTCTGGGGTACTAATTTAACTGCGAAATATGAATATGTTTGTTTTCTGGATAATGTGTGTTGTTGTCGTTTCACTTGATGTAGGAAATGACACTGCTGCAGTCGCTCTGTGAATTGCATCATGTCCGATCTTCTGCAGGTATTCTCTACTACGTCTACATGGGAATGCTTGCGGTTTTCTGCACGAATGCCATCAACATCCTCGCGGGCATCAATGGCATCGAGTCAGGTCAAGCCCTGTTTATCTCCGGCTCCATCATCGTCTTCAACCTGGTGGAGCTCAGTGGTGTGTGGCCTCTCTCACAATTCCTGAAATAAGTGAAGATAGTTTGGAAATAAGTATCGTATATATTATCGTATCACACAGGTGTAATTTATCCCCCCTCGTCAGACTGAATGTGATGCTGCATGATTTATGACTGTGGATGTTTCACCGTGTACTTCTTTCCCGTTGCGTGACATGCAAACGGCTGAACATGTTTTGTCTTCATCAGGAGATTACCGGGATGACCATGTTTTCTCCCTCTACTTCATGATACCATTCTTCTTCACCACATTAGCACTTTTTTACCACAACTGGTAAGTCAAACCTATTACCTGAGGCCGTTTTCTGAATTTTTTTTTGAAAATGCACAGGCATATATTATACGTCAGTGCCTCTAAATTCTGTCAACTTGCAACCCTTTTTTTGTCACAGGTACCCTTCGTCTGTGTTTGTGGGAGACACCTTCTGCTACTTTGCTGGGATGACCTTTGCTGTAGTCGGCATCCTCGGACACTTCAGCAAAACAATGCTGCTGTTCTTCATTCCTCAAGTGGTTAACTTTGTCTACTCCTTGCCTCAACTTTTTCATGTCATACCCTGTCCCAGACACCGGCTCCCCAGGTAACAACCTTTAACTCCATTTTTTGACATCTTTTCATTCATCATTTATGCTGATTATGTATTCTCAATGTCCACCATTCATCCTCTTGACTTTCTCCCAATGAAAGGCTGAATCCAGACACAGGCAAACTGGGGATGAGCTACTCTAAATTCAAAAGAAAGGACCTCTCTAAATTAGGAAATCTCATTCTGAAGGTAAAAGCTCTTGCACCTGTTTGTACCCTTATTTTAATGTAGGAAAAAATTACATTTTACCCAAGATATTGTCCTCAAATTGCTTGATATGTCCAACCAACAATCATTTTGCACATTTTTACTTGGTAATTTAATTAAACAAGCAAGCGTCTGGCAAAATTTAAAATAAACCAGAAAGCCAATTCATTTCTCTGTCTCTAATCATTTAATAGACTATTACTATAAAAGGTACTCATAATGAGTATTGGGAAAACACAGTAGAATAGCAGGTGTACTTCTGTGTTTATTGGGTTATAACAATAATGTCTCAATGATCCTCAACAGGTGGCCGAGTTATTAAAGCTGCAAGAGGTGCAAAGAGGCCAGGAGGGCGATGATGGGTTTATCGAGTGCAACAACATGACCTTAATAAATCTGGTCCTGAAAATACTCGGCCCCACCCACGAGAGAAACCTCACAGTCATCATGCTCGTCATTCAGGTATAAAAAATACCCTGGAATAGTGTTGGTCGTTGGGAAGTATGTGAATGTTTCACTGGCTGCTCATTTCTGTGTCTCTCCCAGGTGATGGGCAGTGTACTGGCTTTCGGGATCCGTTATCATCTGGTGCGTCTCTTCTACGACTCCTAGACAGCACTCTGGGAAAGAGGGGAGAGAGCATTGGCTGAGAAGATATGATGTTGCTTTATGCAACTATTTTTACAGGCTCATGGTTCATCTGCCTTTGACAGGCTCCATTACCTCGCTGTTACTTTTCTGCATCAGACTCTACTTGCAGTATAGACCCAGTAGAAGGTTCAAAGCTGTATTTCACTTTGTACAACATTTTCACGTACAGTGTTCCAACGTACACTGCTCGGGGTCTGACATAAACAGCAGTACAGTGTGTTTTTCTCCTGAATTTCAGTAATTACAAGCAGCAAAAAGTAACTAGGTCTTAATGACCTTATGTGTCCAACCTGAAAGTATATTTTTGTACTTGGTTTTTTAAAGGAAAGTACAGTAAGTGGGGATGGCCTTCGGTTTTCAGGTCAGCCAACATCAATAGTTGATGCCACTAAATTGCTTCGATTTGATAAAAGCCTAATGGAAAATATCAAATGTTCACACTGCAATAGTCCATTACTTGAATCTGCTGTTGAAGCAAAGATGGCTTAGGGAAAATGGGCCCACTCACACTTAATTCACCATGACTATCAATCCATGCAACATGAGTAATATTAATGAATAAGTTAATATATAATTATTATTATTTTCTTTGTTACCTCTGAACAAATGCACACACAATGGTCATTGTGAAGAAAAGCAGTGACGAGATGAGCCTTTAATCAGTCTGAGGACCACGAATTAGGTGGAGACAGGTAAAGGGAGGGGATATTAAAAGAGTTGTTGATAAAGTTACTTTGGCCTGTGGAAGGTGAAGGGTGTCCTGATGAGAACAATGCTAATTGTTTATACCTTTCTTGGTATTATAGCTGTATTTTTATGACTGGTTCAGAGGACGTTAATGTGAAGTAAACATGGCACTGGAATATTTTGCTTAGGAATGTAACTGCAACTGAGAAACTGTTCACTGTTGAGATGGAAGCTTAACATTGAGAAATTAAAGCTGAGAAAATGAAAGCACAGGATTTTGCCATCACTATTATTGCTTGTTTAAGACGTATTCAGTTTCTTAATTAGAAGGAGCGAGATGAAAATGTATAAATACTTGACTACAACTAAAAGTCCTGCATTCACAATCCTATTATAAATGTATCAAAATGAAAAGTTTTTATCACCTATATACTGTTATTAGATCATGTTATCAGTGCGTATATCGGCCAACAAATACCAAATTGCAGTACAGAAATGCCAAAAATCAATAGCCAACATCTTGTTCACAATTCTTAAAAAGGATTGCTATTAACAAGGTTTGTTTATGTTGTGCTTTGTGTTAATAAAAAAAATTCATCTGACTTTATAGATGCTAGTCCGTCAGTACCTCAAAAATTCAGTATCAAGAAGGCTCTACTTCTTCTTCTACTTTATAGTGAGTTCTTATGGTGTTTTAACCTCTAACACTGCGTAAACTTTGTTTTGTACATAAAAATCTTAATCTGTAAATTGTAAATATAACTGCCAAATAAATGTAGCGGTGTAAAATGTACCATATTTGTCTCTGTACACGAGCAGAACGGAAGTATAAAGTAGCTTAAAGTGAAAGTAGAAGTACTTCTGCACTCAAGTAGGCACCAGTGTCTGCGTAAAGCGGTACATGTTACACCCGGAACTATATATAAGTATACTTTATTTTTGGGGAGACATCTGCGCAGCGCACAGCCCGCGGTTGGCTAAAACAACTCATGTTTACATCATGTCAGTGCTTTTGAACAGCATCTTATTGTGTTGAAGCTCCTATTCGAGTTAGAATATAACGCACTATTTGCTGTACTGTTTGTTAAAAGTGTTCCAGGATGATGTTTCTAAAGCTCTAACGTTGAATAACTGGCAGATGTTTCAGAAACAGTCTCTGGTTAGTGGTTACACTTACCAACCAGCGCCCGGTGGTAGCTAGCACTAGGTTATGGTCAAGCTTGGGCGACGTTTACAGCTCCAGTCTGTGCGTAAAACACACTGCATCGAGTCAATCTCAGGTTCAAAGAAATGCCTCCCAACAAACGGATCCATAAGAAAACACTGAAATTGGTTTGCGAATGGAGTTCGTGCCAGGAGTCGTTTAGTCGGATGGATAATTTCTGCAAGCATGCAGAGGTTCACTTTAGTGCTGTAAACATGGCGGAGGCGGACGAGGAAGAAACGGAAGGTGGGGAGTTGTTAAAGTAGCTGCCTGTGGCTTTGTTCATGTTTGTTTACACCTGCATCAAGTTGTGTGGGAAAATAGTTATTGCCTCATTTACATACAATGTGCTGTAGTTTATTAATTGACAGATGATAAGCGAGAGATATTGCTGCATTGCGCAGCCCCCAAGAGGTTAAAGCCTAATAATGCAAAACTCTGTATTTTCTTTTGTGCCAAGGGGAGAGAAACTGTCTTTGGAGAGACTGTGGTTTCTGCTCCGTGGAGGGTCCTGAAGAGTTGCGCAGACATCTGTTCTTTCACTGTTACCACACTAAGCTGAAGCAGTTGGGTCAGCAGGTGCTTAAGCCAGAAATTGGCACCTGCTCCATCTGCCACCAGAACTGCAACCTCATCCCCGATATCCCAGACAATTTTATCTGCCTTTGGGAGGACTGTGAGGTAAGCTCGACAGAGGCCGGTGCTGACGGAGCAAAGCAAGATTACTTATATGTTTACTTACAACTGTAGAGTGTGAATTTCTGCCTTTCAAGTGTGTGAAGTAGAGTTTAAACCTTTTGTTCTTGGACTCTAAATAATTCTGGATATATCTTCTTTCTATCCACATTTTTTAAAGCAACCACCGTATGAAAACCCAGAGTTCTTCTATCGCCATGTGGAGATGCATAGCCTGTGCATTGACATTCCAGTGGGAGACTATGAATTCCCAATACGCTGTGGATGGAAAGGTACGTCATTTAACATGATTCATCTCAGGATTATAGATCAGAAATGACAATGTCAGTGAAGATTACACGCCCTCACTCTACAGATTGTGAAGCCACCGCTAAAGGACGTCCTAAGCTTCGGGAGCACCTGCGCAGCCACACCCAAGAGAAGGTGGTGGCATGTCCAGGCTGTGGGGGCATGTACGCCAACAACACCAAGTTCTTTGACCACATCATACGACAGAGCGCCATGGAAGGTAACATTCCTGTCAGAACTGTGGCAGGAAAGTTAATAACAAGGTTTGCAACAGGTTAAGAGTTTACCATCTTGCTGTGTGTGTGTGTGTGTGTGCGTGCGTGTGCGTGCGTGCGTGCGTGCGTGCGTGCGTGTGTGTGTGTTGTAGGTCAGAGGTTCCAGTGTTCCCACTGTTCCAAACGTTTTGCTACAGAGAGACTACTGAGAGACCACATGAGAACCCACGGTCAGTCCCTCCTTCATCAGTGTTGTTATTCCCATGTGCTGGGGAGGACTTAAAAGGCCACACGGCTCTTTTTGCAAACTTAAAATCACACAGTTTTAACTCTTACAACCATTTTCCACACCATTCCTTACATGTTTACATTTATTTATACCTGCCAGGTAGACACTGGTGTAGGTGCCATTATTTATATCTGTATTTGTCCGTTTATAGTCGTAGCCTCAAATTTCAGCCATCATATCACCACACGGGGTTGTGTTGGTTTTGGGGGTTTTTTTCTTCCCAAAGCCCAGGACCCCCCACTGACTTGGACCCTTACATACTTTTACACCTCCCTGCTCCGCTCTTCACTTAAATATACACATTACACTTTAATAACAGTGCAGCATTATCCGCTGATATAATCTCATCACTGGTTTGTCTTTTTCTTGTTGGTACAGTGAGCCACTACAAATGCCCGCTGTGTGACATGACTTGTCCGTCGCCCTCTTCACTCCGCAACCATATTAAGTTCCGCCACAGCAACGAGAGGCCATACAGCTGTGAATACTGCGAATACAGGTGTCTATCCTCCGAAGTTGCAGCTGTGCAAAAGCAGATTAAGCTGTTCAACACACTCTTGCCTTAGTGTTTTCTTAATAGTCCTACCCTTTATTTTGTATTTGCAGCTGTAAGAACCTAGTAGACTTGCGCAAACACCTGGACACTCACAGCAGCGAGCCGTCGTTCCACTGTAATGTTCCCGGCTGCGGCTTCAGCTCTCGTACCCTCAGCACCATGGACATTCACCACAAAAAAGTGCACAAGGTGAAGTGGGAAATCTTTTAAATTATTGTTGACTTGCACTCTGAATGTCATTTATAGTTCTCAAATGTTGTCTTTCTGAATCAGGGTAACTTTGTAGCTCGCTACAAGTGCCATGTGTGCGATCAGTGCTTCACCCGGGGCAACAACCTAACTGTCCATCTGCACAAAAAGCACCAATTCAAATGGCCCTCTGGACACCCCAGGTTCAGGTAAGTCTTGCATCGACAAAAACAGATCAACCCAGCAATGTTGAATGTGAGATGTGTGGGGGGGGTTGCAGCACTGATGGTCTCTTCGTCGCTCCGTCAGGTACAAGGAGCACGAGGACGGCTTCTTGCGGCTGCAACTGATTCGCTATGAGAGCGTGGAACTGACGGAGCAGCTGATGAGGGAAAGACAAAGTAGTCAAGCGGAGGAGGAGGATGATGACAGTGGCCAGACTGAGGAAGAATGCCCGGGGGCAGCTCCCCCGGAGTTGCAGGTGGAACTGAGAGGGGTGCTGCTGGAGGAGCAGAGGACTGAGGAGCCCACCGCCAGCGTTGAGGAGGGCGGTCAGGTCACGTTGTACGTTCTCACTGGAGGTTTATCACAAGCAGGGGAGGACTAGGATGCTGCTCAGCGGCATGGAATGCAGGTGGTTTGACTGCTGCAAGTCCTGCATACACGTCCTATACATGACGGGGCATTCTAAAGGAAAGCATGCGTACTCCATGATGACCCATTTTGACTATCAGCCTATGTTAGGTAAACCTGTTTTTATGTGTTTTTTGTTTACTGATGTTGAGCCTGTGGATAGTCTGTTTTCCAGTATTGATTATTATTTCCAGGTTAATTATTGTATCTTATAGTGTAACATATTCAGACAGTTGGATGCTATTGGTGCGCTGCCTAGTGGGCTGCCATTCTCTTTTAGATGGTAATTCTGTCCCAGATATTCAGAAACACATCAGCCTCACCTTTTTGAAGAATGGCGTGTTGGCGTTAATATTCACCAAAATGTGTGGAATCCAGCTAAGAGGGCATAAGAGGGCTCAGTGTGTATTTTTTTTTATGCTTCATCTACATCTTAAATAAAGTTATGACACAAAATGTTTGCAAAATTCACATTATCATTTTTTTGTCTTATTCAGATGTATTTAATGTTGCACAGAAAGAAAATGTGTCTTTAGTGGTGCACACAGTATTTATTCATTTTAACAAGTCATTAAGAGAGGAATATGCATCATTTTGATTTAAATCAAATGCTTCACAGGTAGCTGCATTGATGGTATTTACTGACTGTCCTTCATTATGGCGCCCCCTGCTGAATCTAACTGCTCTACTGCAGCTCTATTTTCTGATTGTATCGGCTCTGCTAAACTAGACATTTTATGGATCTAAAATGTTGACAAACGGCTACAAGGTGACTGAAATGTTGCTCTAGTATTATTCACTCATAAACTAGATAGACTGTTTTAAGGTACACTTCTACTTTCACTTCTACTTTCCTCCTTTTGATAAAATAATATATTCAACACAAAAATGGGCACATATTGTTTATTTGTTTTATCCTACTACTCAAAGGTACGTACTTACAATATCAGTGATTTGATATTCAAACAACGAAGTGACCTGAACCGACCTGAATGTGATCTTCTCATCAGGTGACCTATAAATCATGACTTGTGTCTGTCGCAGCATGGCATACAGTACGTAGTGGCATTAGCAGTGTGTAGAAGATTAGGCAGCACACAGAGCTTAGTTGAAGTGTTACTTACTGCTCTCTGCTTCTTCACTCTGCAGTCGGTGAACTCCGCTCTACTGGGACGGCTTCTAATGGCTTCGTGTCTGTTGACTTTGCAAGAATGATGATGTATAGAATGTTGCTGGACAGCAATATAACTTAGACGCAGCTCCCAGATCCATCTGCAGTTATTTTCACAGGAACTGATTGCATCTGAAGATGGACGCCATGAGGTTATATCTACTGCTGTTGCTGATGTTTGGGTCCTTCCAAAGAGCCAATTCTCCGTTTCCTGGATGGATTGGTGAGGTGGAAGGTAGTGGTAAGACCTCCTATAACGGCAGTATGATGTTATTTTTCAATCATGCGTTGGCAATGGGTTCCTCTCTATAACAACAATAACATATTTCTTTATCTTGGCCTTGAATCCTAGAAATATTTCCAAATTGAAGTTTGGACAAAAAAAAAAATATTTAGTGTATTATATGAATATTTGTAATTAGTCCAGTTGTGATGTATGAAAAAAGCTAATGAACACATTTTACTGTAGGTGAGACAGAATGGATTCCCCAACCAGATTTCATAGACGACATATACTGGTCCGGGTCAGCGCCCCTTTGTTTAGCTGGCTGTATGGCGCGACACGAGGAGCTGAGGAGAGATCGCTGTGGAGACTCCAGCTGCTGCTGGCTCGGCCAGAAGTCCCTGTGCCGAGGTAAGACTACCACATCAATGACTGACATTAGATATAAGTCACTTTGTCTGATCAACCTGTTATGAAGCTTTGTGTCATGCTTTGCGAATGCATTTCCTTTGCATTGTCTGGCAGTGAACTGTGGGACACCAGATGTGGACTATAATGGAGTGGTTTATGGTAACGACTGGTGGGTGGGCTCTGTGGTGAGGTACACCTGTCGCTCTGGCTTCATGCTGGTGGGAAACCCAACCAGATTCTGCCAGCCTAATGGCCTCTGGACCCCGAGACCTACCTGCCTCAGTGAGTAAACACAGATCCCATGATCCCTTATGAACCTTCTAGCTTTTGATATGACCTCCCTCTACATGCCTTTTTAGGAATGTGTCAGCGGGGACGCATTGAAATCAGTGAGAGTGAACTAAATGGGACGTGCAACTCCACCTGTGCATATAAGAGCTACTTCGGCCCACCAAAACGAGGCTGCTCTCGGATAGACAACTGTATGAAGAAGGAGACTGGCTGGAAGCGGTTCTTTGCACAGTGCGTCCCTTGCATATGTGACTGCGCTTTGTCATGTGGTGAGTAGCTTCCTCATCACACGATCTAGTATAAATGATGAACTGATGCAATGTTGACTCAGTGCAAATACACTTAATTCATTTATGATTGCTTTAAACCTGCATAGCTGTCTCTCTGTCATGCAAAGAACACCTTTGTCTTTTTATTTTTTAGCATCTACAGGCTAAAATATGGAGAAAACAGTATGTTGGCTGTACAGTGTGACATCAGATGAAGAAGAAATACACAGACAGCTTGTACACGGCAGAGCCACGCCATGTTTTTGCTGCTTCATCCAATTGTGTGGACAAATCAGTGGACCAAAATCTGTATGTCTTAAGACATTGAATTGAACTGTCTGGCACACTGAATCCTACAATGTCTCCTTGATTTCTAAAGATAGGAGTTTACGCTGTGACAAGAAGATATCAGTTCCTGAGGATCAAATCCCTGAGAGTCAGGGGTGAATTATCAATCTGTGTGATGTAAGGGTAGCGACGGGGTCAGAAAAGAAGTCTTCGAGGCCGGGTCAGACTTGGGTCAAATAATTATTTGAAATACTTAAAATAAAAAGTTTTACCTCAAGTGCCAAGTGGTGGTCTGTGTTTGATAAGAAGCTCGTTTGGGTTAGGCAAATGCTATCTCACAGGATGCACAGTATTTGGTAGCGCAGACAGCACTTTCTGGTTTAAATGAACTTGGTATTATAATTCTATGTCACAAATTCTACCCACCAGGAATATCTCGCATGCTTTCTTTTAACATGCGTCTGTAAACATGTTTGCATTTCCAGTGAGAGGAAGGAATGAAGTCAAGGAGAAAAGGATGTGAAACCACAGAGATTAGTGTCACTGCTTGTCGCTCCTCCTCTCAGTCCATCTGTCTTGGAAGGAGATGAAAACGTAATCGTGTTACAAAGGGAGGAGCTTTGGTTTGGGAGCTCAGGAGTCAGTTAACACGACGAGTGTTGAAAACTTATTATAAACATGATTTTTTTTTTTTTTTTTAGGAAGTAGACCATGTTAACTTTTTAATATGTAAATCATCTACTGTGAAAAAAAACACAAAAATATAAATGTTTTTGTTGCAAAACCAAATCTTTAATTTTATAGAGATGGATTGTATCAGTGTGAAATGATGCATCTGAAAGGAAGAAAAAGATTGTGCTCCCCTATCTGAAGTCAAAGCATCCACACCTCCTTTGCAAATACCCATTTCGTTTCAAGTTTTCAGTGTCGCAGACTTAATTGCCTGGATTATTGTGCTGGATTCTTTCGAGTCAACCCAGAACCTACTTGGTTGAAAACAGAAATTCAGAGTTGGAATCTGCAGTATTTCCTCAAACACACTTTAAGTTGTCATCAACTGCAGAATGATGCCTCTCATAACGTCTCACTTTGCTGTGATATTCAACCTTTCTGCCCTCAAACAATTTGGACGGACAGTAGACGTCCTGGTATGTGACATGTTTCTTCTTATATTGTCTCTGTGGTCTTTAATGTTGTATTACTTTGTACATTTTTCTCTCTGTGGATTTGATAAATGAAATTGCTCCTGACTGCCACTAGATGTTGCTGTTTTGTTTATTCTCACACATCAGGTCACAACATTTACCTCCCAATGCACTTATAGGAACTAGATAAAGCCAGAAATGCTCAAAAAATAATCAAGTTTGCTTCTCTTCCACATCTGATCCTAAAGATTTTCTTCTGAACTGTTGGCGCCAGGTGCTGAACCTAAGGATGATGTGCTCATTTGTTTTAGGTTTGTAGCAGCCAATTCCTGCGAAGAGGGACACGTTTGGATCAGTAACTTAAACATTAGGGTTCATTCATAAACACAGATTCTGAGAGGTTCAGTGCTCAGTTGACATGGTGCTCTTGCATTAATAGCAATTATGAAAATAATAAGGAACTAATAATGCATCTTCTTCAATCCAAAACCCAAACAGGCACTCAAAACTAACCGATAATTATGTTGTTGCATCACCAGCTCATGAACAGCAATAATCCCACCAAATATATTCAATTGAATTCAAACTTTATTTCAGACTCGCACGAGGAGGGTCCATAGTAATAATAAAAAGATAAGATTAAAGATAGAGTGAGTTATAGCGTGTCAACAATAATATTTTCGAATAATCACACCAGAGGACATCTTGAGGCAAGTAAGTGAAAATACAACCATGTCTCCTGTCTCATTACAGCTCATTAAGTCAGATATGTTGTGTTGAATCTCTGGGTAGGAGACTCACCAACATCCAGTCTGCTGTACTCTCCTGAGCTTTCTGACAGGATCTCCCAGTAAGTCTGCTCGCGCTCGTTTCCAGCTACTCCATTCACACTCTCCAGTAACAGGTACCCAAAGTCTGGGTCCTCCTTCACAGTGAACCTGGCCACAAACATAGAGAGTGTCAGGACATCTGTCCACAGCATAAATATAATCACAAGCTTGCAAAGGAGAAATGGCCGAGCCACCTTTGGGAATAAAGGATGTTATGCAGAGAAAATAAAGGGAACGTCATGGGTGGTCTTACTTGAAGTCCTGCTGTGTTTCCTGCAGTCTCCTCAGAGCGCCCAGCAGCACACCTCCCTCTACCACAGAGCTGAAATGGGACTCAGGAGTCATGTTAGACAGGTCATTCTCCACAGACAGTCAGATAGGAAGACCTGCACACCATGTTATATTCAGTTATAGTGACACTTTGCATGATACATGCACACAAAAGTGGGTTCAAGTTATATTGTCTTATATATTTACCTGTTTCGGTGAGAGCTCTTTGTGTTGAGCAGTTGTCTTCAGTGCCATCCTGTCAGATCTTGTCCCTCAGATGTCGACTAACACTTCATTCAGCTCAGTACCTATAGTGTGCCTGCCTATCCCTCTTTTACGAGCACATACTGCAGTTCTATAGAAAACCTTTACTCCTGCAGCCACCATGTCGCTTTGCAAAGATGTCTTTGTTGAGGTTAAATATCCACAGCCTGAACCAAAAGCTAACATGAGCGTTTGCTCTTATGTGGCAGTCCGTCACTGTTAACGTGTGCTTTATGAATAGAGAACCACCGTTATCTCTGAGGTGACTTAATGATCATGTAGTTGATTAATGATCTTTCCTTGTGGCTATGTTTCCTCACAGGGCATGAATACAAATGGTTGGTTGATCTTAGATAATTTATGTATGCAAACGCAAGCCTATTCTTCAGAGAATGTAAGAAAGGTCGTATCTCCTTCCTCGGGGCAAATATTACATTATGCAATCAGGATTTGGCCTTTTAGCTAGAATGATGGATTTAATTAGCACCTCACGTGTACCTATTGCAGTCTTGTCAATCAGTCAAGCTTCAAAGCATCACATATACTAAAATAAAAGCATCCATCTTTATTTTTGACACTGACTTGTCTCTAATCACACCAAGATTGAGCTGTAGAACAACATAACAAGAACAAAATGTGTTGCGACACAGTGTAAGATGTGATGATTGATAATGACTGGCCTGTGTGCAGTGTGATGGATTCAGGTTTACATGTGTTACAGCGTCTCTGTCTGAGAAGATGGCCCTGTTTTATAATGCATTTATAAGGGAGCCATATATAACACAGAGAGAGATGGGTTGCTGTGCTGAAATTGCTCACGTTACGACGGGTCGTTTTAATAAATTGGTCCGATTAAGAGGCAGGTGCAATTGTCTAAAAATGTTTTGGATTTCCTCTCAGGGGTGATGTAAGCCATGTAGCCCCCGCTTGAACGCGAGTAACCCCGGCTGTTTTACCGAAAATAACCCGGGCACTGCAGCATCAGCACCAGGCAGCTGCGCAGGTGCGGCCTTTAAAGAGACAGCGGGGCCTACAAATTCCACATAATCCTTCCTCAGTATTTACACAGACTGTCAACAATAGTGCAGTGACGACGGTGGAGCCGAATTTATCCTCCGTATCAGTATGTGGCAAGAGGCTAAATAGAAAAGTAGCTACTATCCACAGCGGAGCTTTATCCTAATTTCATTGAGTTATTCCCATGTCTCTCATTTCCCCAGAGACAAGTGGCCTCAGAATAGGAAATGGAATACGTAAAAGGTTTAAATTGGCATCTGAGGGGCTCATTTAATGAAACAGACTGTGGCATCAACCTGATCTAAATTCATTTAATCAACTGTGAATTAAATCCAACTTGCAGGTCTTAAATCGCTGTAATATCTTTGAAATGTCTTTAGAGGGACTTCAATTTTTTTATTTTTTTTTTTTTATTTCAATTCATTCTAAATGATCAGGATGAGGATTAGCGAGGGAGGATTACCACAAAACCAAAACAGTATTTTTCCCCCGTCCATTAGCATCCTGTCAGCAACGCCCTGCATCCCAGACCGGCGTGCGTACCACACAGACGCACTAACCGGCAAGAGGATATACGTTGGCTGCTATATCGAGCTGCTGCTGCTGCTGCTGCTGCTGAAGCATCTGCAGCGCTGTTTGGCTGTTTTTGGTCCAGATGTCAGAGACAGAGAGGAGATTGTCATCAACGCCACTAATGAGGATGTGTGTGGGTATTTCGATGCCAGTTTGGATGGAATGGATTCACTGAAAGGAATAATCCCACCGAGGAAGACAGACAACATGACAGGCATCCTGTTCCCCTGACGATTCTCGGGGATGCAGTCATAGTTTGGGGCCGGACATGGTTTTAATCTGGGGAGTTGCTGTAGTGGATGCGGGATGGTGTGCGCCGCACCCCGAGATATATTGATAAGGACAACACAGCACTTTCCTTTAATGCCTCTCGACCGATACGGATTTTTCCTGGACTGTGGCGCACAGTGAGCATCTTGTTGTTTTTTTTACCGGCTGGCACGGTTTGGGGACCTTCTGATGTAGAGGGATTGTGCTGTTTCGTCTGAAAGGATCAACTGAGCACTGTTGCTCTCACCCAGAGAGGAGAACCAGGGCTGAGCTGCTCACCTGGTCATTTCAACACACAATATTAAGTATGTGCAATGCCTGCCTGCGTGTGAGTGAGTGTTTGAGTGTACACGTGCATGTGCATGTGCAATGCAACACACAGCAGCAGCCTTACTGCATGTGTCCTCAGAATTATTTATGACTCATCTACCTTTAAAAATAAAAAAGAAGTCACCTCTCCCTGCTGCTCTGTCATTTTACAGCCTAAATATTGCCTCCTGTTTTCATTCTCATCAGTTTGTTGTTAACAGGTGCTTTTTGAAGAGCTGGCAGCTCCCCCATCACTGACAAGTCACTGCAGAGCACAGAGTCGACACACCACTGCAAAGCTATACATTTATTAACCATATTTCACTCCTTGGAGACTTTTACAATGCCTGTGTGTGCTCAAATGTCCTTGCTTATAGGGGCCGCACATGAGGGAACATCAAGGCCTTCAATCTGACTAAGAGGCCATTAAAGCCCGTCTGTGTTTTACTGAGCTTACATGCAGACTTGTAATGGAAATTCACTAATGGCAGGGTGATCAATAGAAGCCATGGTCAATTTCCTTCACCGGCGCTCTTCACATGGGGAGGTTTAACTGCAGATATACAGTATGGATAGTAGTAAGAGAGACTACATGGCATGGCATGGCAGCAGTGGATGTACAGCGATTATGTGTTCAAACTTGATATTGAGCTTTGATTTTTTTAAATTCTGCTTCTTAGTCTCTATTTTAGGTTTGCTTTGCTCCATAACTCTTTGTCTATGATGAATGTTGACATATTTGTTAGTATTTGTTATATAACCTAGTGAATGGTGTCACAAAATGTTATATTTTCACGAGGATAAGTGTCCCTGAATGAATCAGTAATCCATGTCTGACCCAAACAGACATCATGTATATCTGTGTGTCCCCATGACTTCTTTATCTGCTCAAAGATGTTCAAAGTCCTAAAGTGTTTGGGTCGATTGTTATGCCAATGTCAGGAGTGCATGTACACAAAATAGGTCATTTTCAACTGTTTTCTAACTTTTTTTGATAGAATCAGCTGTTTTGTATGTTAGCAGTGCACTTTTATTATTCATAAGGCTATTACACACAATGTATTTACATTTACACACACATCATCCTTAAACATTCAACTGATAATTACACGGCTCTTTATTTACAGGTACTAATCTAAAAATCTTCTAAATCACTTTTTTTTTTTAACTCATTTGAATCATGCACATAATTCTTCAATACTGGAGTATATTTTCTGTTAAATAACTTTTATTTTCCTGATGAATGAAATATTAATGGCAACTGAATGTCGTGCTGTTACACCTCCTGACATCTTCAGTACGCTGATATTGGTGAAACAAAATGGTTCAGTTAAAGATTATTGTCAAGCTAATGGATCAGCAGCTACTACACATCATAAAAGAGACTTCAGACAGGCCGCCTCTAAAAGGAAATTTATGTGAATCAGCAGTATAAGCGTGCTGCAGGACTGAAACCAGATCCTGACTCCTCACATTTAGAATCTCATTCCCCTCAACCAGCCAGTTCATAAATTAAACTATAATCAGATGATACTAAGCACCTAGATTCAAGATGGTGTCTGCAGTCATCCTAAAATCACTTCTTCAACACATCTTTGTGTCCTTACATCTCATGCTGAGGCACCAGTTTTCTATGAATCAGTCAACCAACTAAACAAAGGAACCAAAACCGATCAATGAATTGTTCATTTAAATCTGCATCTGATGCTCTTCTTGTGTGAACATGTGAGGCTGCTTTTCTGAAGCGGGAGAGTGGAGTTGAGCTTGGAAACACTTGTAAAGACTGACATGTCTGTCCTTCTTTGCATCCTTCCAGCATGGCCGAGAGGACACTGGAACAGGGCTCGGTCAGCATCCCCATGGAGGAGACCAAACTCCAAGGCGGAGCGCCTCCGGAGGCGCCACTGCTCATCCACTTGAAGAAAGTGGAGAACCACATCACTGAGGCTCAACGCTTCTCCCACCTCCCACGCCGCTCTACTGTGGACCTGGAGTTCAATGAGCTCTCGTACACCATCCGCGAGGGTCCCTGGTGGAGGAGGAGAGGTACTGCATAGCTCAGTTCACATAGTAACCATGATGGATGAGCGAGCATGCACCACCCATGAAGATCAATATCTGGAGTGCAGAAATTCCTAGGGAGCCATCTAAAAGCCTGACATTTAAGACAAATATTGTTTTTTGTCTCAGTGTTATTCTGCCTTTCTTGCTTTGCTCTATTGTTCTGACACATGTAGCCCAGCCCTGTCCTCACACACACACACACACACACACACACACACACTCATACTTTTGCAGACTTCCACCATGTTATAGCAGGCAGTGTGCTTGTATAAGCTTTGCTGCAATCAGCAGAGTTTAGACATAGTAAATAATTTACGCTCGCAGGTTGGCAAACTGCTTGCCTCTCTTGTCCCTGTGTTGTCTGACGATGGGCGGTGAGTCAGGCCCACGATTGATCTACTCATAAAATATAAACAGCATTTCAACTCACCACCTTTATTGATGATGAGCCTCCAACCTTTGGTCGTTTCTGCTTGTCAACTAAACCGCCCTCTGTAAATGTGTAGCTGCTCTTGTTACGTCCTGTATATTTAGCAGGGTGAGGATGGTGGACTTTAGGGGAATCCTTTATTCACATAGCATCTTTAGGAGAGGCCCTACATTATGCATTGCAGGTTGTCTTGTGTGTGATTTCCAGTCTTGTGTAATATTGATGTGCATTATGAAAGTCTGGCAGAGGAGTGTTTGTTGTTCCCCCTGTGAAACCTGAATGTATGGAGAGTAGGAATGAGGAGGATCAGAAAGTGCTTGATGCCGATGTTTTTTGCTTCAGTGGCCTCGTCTAAATCAACCTGTGGTTTCTGCTGTTGTTTGTGTTGTCTCTTCAGGGCGCCTGCTTCAACTCATCAGGCTGTTGATGTGTGAGCAGGAAGTGTCTTAGCTTTTACTAATTAAGATGTGCCTTTCATAGAGAGGCTCGCCTGCCATTTTACTCTCCTTCCAATCTGACTGAACCTCCCGTCATATACTTGTACATCCAGCTCTTTACAACCCCATTCTGCCTCTCCAATTACCTCTGCCACTCATAATCAGGGTGTTGCGCTTGCATTTGACAAGAACTGTAGCTTATACTGAGGGGCTTGTTGGTGTTTGTGTCTCATTTGAAAAGCTAAGCTCAGAGCTGATTCTCTGCAATTCCTGTCTGCCGAATCAAAGCTGTGAAAGGTATAATCACACAGAGCTTGAGGCTGTTGTTCTGCTGTGGCCTTTGGTAGTCAGAGATTATTTCTCCTTGAAAAAAAATACATAATTTTATGTCATTTCTGCTTAACGCCATGTAATTACAGCTGATAGAGGAAAGGGGATGACGTGACCGAGGAGCCTTGAACCCATGATGTCATTTGTAATTCAAAGTGTTTGAGTCTTTGAGACAATGACACCATACTTATGAGTCACTCCTTATAATGTCTGTGGCCAATAGGAAGAGATTATCGAGGAAGATATTGTAAAGCAGTGAATGTAGAATTGTTTATTTTATTGTAAAGGGCTCAGGAAGGTTAGGTGATGTATGAGCTGCCCACCGTCTGCATTAGTTATAGGTTCTTCTTGGCCACTTATACCTGTTAGCTTGTTGTTGCTGGGACCTGCTTTCATGTTTTGGGTATTCTCCTCCTGTTGAGGAATTCTCCTAACTGGTGAAACTCTGGCCCAGTCACCGCATGGGAAGGACAGGAAGAGGGAGCGAGAGCAGGAAAAGGTTTACATGCCTCTAGGTGATATCAGCTCTGCATTTTGCTGTGTACTGCAATTTAGTCTCTGCTCCTGCATTGCTGAATTGTTAGGAAGAAGAGGAGCGCGGTCATCTTTTCAGATAAAATCACATCTTCTACTCAACATGCTCGATGCTGCTTAGACAGTTCTCCTTTTAAAATGCATCGCCATGCACACGATAACTCAAATTTATGACGCAAAGTAGCCCATACCTGCTTCACTACTCACGTTTTGTCGTTTTCTTGCGGGATGGTTATGAAAATGTATGATTAGGTGTAATTTGATTTAAATATGAAGAAGCCTTGTATTTGTTATTTATCCTGTTCTGTTGTCGACGATATGGTCAGAAAAAGTACAACAGAAATCAAAGTGAGGCTCTACGTATTTGTCATGTGAAGAATGGTAGCTGTTTACAGAGTCTGAGGATGATGTCTGTACTAAATGTCCTGATGTGAGAGGGTGGACCATTAGACAATGATCCAAGGACATCAGACAGATCATTTAGCTTGAACTGAGTTGATTTATACAGTTATAAGTCGTTCAAATAGCTTAACTTAAAAGATAACTCCACTGACTTAACACATCAAAGTCTGTTTACAGGTCTTGTAAAGTAGCACATGTGAAAAGGTTGTATATAGCCTTTTGTTTCTCCAGAAGGAGCTGTGCAAAGTCTGAAAAAGTGCCTTAAGTGATGTCACTTAAGTCAGCTTCAGTTGTAGCTGAAGACTGGACAAGCTTCCCAGACCTCTGTAGCCGTTTGGGTCTGCTTGTGGTTATCAGCTCGAAAGCTACATTAGCCGCAACTAGCATAACACCCGAACCTCCGTCCAAACTGTCGCTAGTCGAGTTGTGTCGTGGGTTGTGTAGGCACCAGGTTTTGACAAGGAAGAAGAAAAAAAATAGAATTAAAAAAGATGATATTTAGTTGTACATCTGTAACATCCACCAACATGCAGAATTGAAATGGTAACTAAATGGAGCGCTCTTTTTAAACATTCTATAATGTGCACATGACAGCATTTGATCACAACAGGTTATTATTCTGTTGTGATGAAATGCCTTTTCTATGGGGCAACCACTGCCTGGCTGTGCTGTGTATGTTTGTATAGAGTCAATTAAACAAAGTGAAGACAGAATATGCTAATGTTAAACAGGTACTCAAATTTGATCACAGAATTTGTTTAGACAGTCCAGATTAGAATGATTGTAGTAATGAAAGAAACATTGATCAAGTGTGAGGGAAGGGAACTATACTTTTCTTTAAATCATACCGCTTTATGGAAACGTGATAATCCTGGTGTGAGAATTGAGTTGTCATTTGTGTCAAGGGCTTCCATTTGAGGCATGTGATAACCCCACCTCAACCGTGACTCATAATAATTTATCTAACAATTACTTTGATATTTCCTACGAGATCAGACTCGATGTACACTGTCACATGCTGTTAAATCGGTGTGTCTTTGACAGGGAGGTGACTGAGGTCAGCTATACTCTGTGGCTCTCATGAGGCTGGTTGATCAGGATGTGTTCGCAGCCTCCGACGGATAAGGCCATTATTATGCACAGGGTTGGATCATCAGTATGCACCACATGCCAGAGCAGGGCTGCTTCACTTACAGCAGGCTGCTCTGCTGTCTAAATGGAGGCCTTCTGATGTAATAACCCTGCGTGGGAGGAGGGGGCACTGCCATTAGGCCACTTTACTCATAGAGTGAGGGTTAAGGGGGTTGGCAGCTCTGCTGAGCCCCTTACACGGCTCGAGACAGGAAGAAGCATCCCTGCAGAAATGGGTGAGGCGAGGGGCGACGGCGAGACAGGATACTGACAGCGCTTAACTTTCCTTATCTGGAAGCTTTCAGATTGTCCGTTCTAAAACTGGTTTGCATCGTGAATAAAAACCTGAACCATCTTCATTAGAAGGCCATACCACTTCAGCCATTGTTAAAACCACTGCAGGGAGGTAATGTCTGTGGTTTTTCCGTTGGCGCCACTGAGGAAGCCATGATCTTAAATCTTTCTGTATGTCGTTTCTTTAGTTGTTTTTTACAGTGATGTCTTGCAGCACACCTGATGCGCAGCTCTCCTAAAATACTGTGAAATCTATTAATCTCGTATGATTGACTGCTCTGCTTGCTCTGCCTGATGGTTCCCGGTGTTCAGTATTAGCAGTCAGTGACTTCCTCTGCTGGAGTGAAATTAGGCTCGCTGTCTGCATAATTATCTGTAGAAGTATTTTAAGAACTGAGTGTCACGATGCGACACGGCTCAGTAAGTTCCATAATATATAAAATATAAAATATACAGTAAATTAACTAAAAATGTAATTTCATTCCTTAACAGTTGACCTGTAGTGTGTAAGATGGTGCAGAATGCAATAACATGTTTTCCGCTTACTTTTAACCATCTTTGTTTTGATAGATTATTTCACTTTTAAATTATTTATGGCTCTTGTGTTGAATCTAGCTCTCAAAAACTCAATCTTTTATACACTTGCTATCTTGTTTTTGGGCTTGTATTTTTCCATCTTTACTCTATGAGCTTTTTACTGGTCTTTTTATTTGTCCTCTTTGTCTGTGATTACTGGTGTATGTTCAAAATACACTTCAGAAATATTTTGTAGATCTTGTAACAAATGTGAGTCTGGTAAATGTGCTAGAATAGTAAAAAATAACACATTTTTTGAAGCTCATTGTTTCAAATCTTTCAATACCATACAAAGATACTAAATATAAATGTCTGAGAATGATTGAAAAGAAATATTTCAGACCAATTAGAGCACTATAAATAACAGCTTTTCCTCCTGTTTGTCAGGTTACAAAGCCCTCCTCAAGTGTCTGTCTGGAAGATTCAAAAGCAAAGAGCTGATTGGCATAATGGGGCCTTCTGGAGCTGGGAAATCCACTCTGATGAATATTCTGGCGGGATACAGGTGAGATGTGGAAGATCATACTTTTGACATAATTCAGTGCTTAGAAAATGTCTATAGTTACGTTTTCTGTTTGGAAACAGGGAGACGGGCATGAAGGGCCAGATCCTGGTGAATGGTCGACCGAGGGACCTGAGGACCTTCAGGAAGATGTCCTGCTACATCATGCAGGATGACATGCTGCTGCCACACCTCACTGTGAGGGAGGCCATGATGGTGAGGTCATCTAAATATAAAAAATAATGGCTAAATACCTCATTAAATCCTAATGTTCAATCGACTTCTGTCTATCTTTCAGGTTTCTGCCAATCTGAAACTGAATGAGAGCATGCAGGTCAAAAAAGAGCTTGTAAGTCTGAATACATTTCAATTTACAGAATTATTTTTAGCAGCAAGTGGGCTAGACAATAGAAGTTGTCAAAGTAGTGCTCAGCTAGAAGTCATTATGGGTGAGCCAGCCTGCTTTATGGGAATAAACATAATAATGTATCCTGTTTTTTAAGAATCGGATTCACTGAATTAGCCAAATACAGTTATTTTCATTTGGTTACTTTATAGATGAAATAACAATTTGGCCATTAATATCATGTGACTTCCTATATATGGATAACTAAAAGTATTTATGCATCAACATTATGATATAAGGTCACATGTACCATGATTGTGTATTTTATCCTTACTGGCACCCATACGTTCAGTTATGTGCGTCATCGTGTTACCACATCTGCTTCTGTTTGTGTCTCAGGTGGATGAGATCCTGACTGCTCTGGGTCTTCAGGAGTGTGCTCAGACACGCACCAACTGTCTCTCTGGAGGCCAGTGTAAAAGACTGGCCATCGCCCTCGAGCTGGTCAACAATCCTCCTGTCATGTTCTTTGATGAGCCCACCAGGTAGGATATTGCTTGGCTGGTGTGAATGTGTGATATCCCAACATAAATACAGATTAAACAATGTCTCTCTGGTTTTCTGTCTCGTCTTGTGTCCCATCCTAGTGGTTTGGACAGTGCGTCCTGCTTCCAGGTGGTTTCTCTCATGAAGTCTTTGGCTCTGGGAGGACGGTCAATTATCTGCACCATTCACCAGCCCAGTGCCAAGCTCTTTGAGATGTTTGATAAGGTAACTTGAGTGCTTCTAGGGCTGGACACATTTGTCTTTCCATTAACTGCTGCTCAGACCAGGGCTCTACAGGTTAGCATGATTCATTTTATCCAGCTGACAAGCAGCGCAGCAGTCGATACACAGCCCTGTTGTTTTGTCAGTTGTTCATATATTATTCAGACAGTCCGTGTGTTGAAAACAATGTTGATTACGTTGTACCTGTGTTCCTCCTCCAGCTGTACATCCTCAGTCAGGGTCAGTGCATATACAAGGGCACAGTCCCGTACCTCATCCCTTATCTGAAGAACCTGGGCCTCCACTGTCCAACGTATCACAATCCTGCTGACTTCAGTAAGTCAAGCAACTCCTTTAGTACAAGCGTGTGTCTGTGTTTGTCAGTGTTTTGGTTCTTACCAGCTTGTCCTCTCTGTCCTCAGTCATTGAGGTGGCGTCAGGGGAGTATGGGGATCTTAATCCAGTGCTGTTTGAGGCTGTCCAGGGTGGACTGTGTTCCGAGGAGGGCAAGAAGAACTCCAGAGACAAAAATGGCTCTTCCTCTCCCTCTCATTGTCCCACTGTGAGTGGCACCACCCCTCTCACCTAGCACCACAGCTATATGTTTTAGATTAACACACGTCATAGCCTCACATCACGTAGTAATCAAAAATGCAAGCCCTTTAACCACAGAACACTGAAAATGTCTCACTATAATAATGTCAAAGAATTGTTGGAAGACAGGAAATTGCTTCAGACTTCATCCGTTTCCTTCAATGATTTCTGATGGATTAACTGCTTCCATTAAGCAATAAGGGATGTACTCATTTACATGAAAGGTTAAATTTCTATATTTCAAATCGGCAAATATAGAAATGCTCAATTCTGTCTTTATTAAACAAGATGAAATAAAGTAGCGGTGGTAGCGTCTATTTTGACCAAAAGTACTCTAATAACTTAATTTTTTTAAAGTTTTAAATAAGAAATCGCAGCCAGTAAAGGAACCCCAAAATGAAACACACACTGAACTGTGTTGAATTCAAATCAAATACCCTGTAACCTATTCCTGTACACATCATCCAAACTGTTGCCCCTCTCCTCCACTCCATCGATCTTTCTATCAGCCTCTCTCAGCTTCCGCTCACTCGCTCTTTCTCCGCCCCATAAGTCACCTTTTATAAGAGCATCAGCTAAATACTAAAACTGTAAATGTAAACCACCAAGAGCTCTCTGATATACGATTACTCCTGTATGATGCAGTTTGGCCCTTCTACGCCTTAAAGTATTTTATAAGTTTATTGATCTTTTTCTGTTGCCCTTTCTATCTTGTGTTTTCTGTGTAGTCATCAGCAACCTTTACACTAATAGCCAGAGATTGTGATGTGTTTCATTCTTATATACGGCCATCTCTTCATTTTCTGACTTAAGCCTCCAAACTTTCATCTACTTTGATAGCATGATTCAAGATATTGTTGCAACTAAAGTGACCTTCCACTCTCACTCAAAGTATCTGCCGTCATTCATTATGTGGTGCAGACACAGTGGGCATTGTGTGTTTAGAGGTTTAATTCCTTTTGGGACAAAATGTTTGTCTATACTGACATTATAACATTGTTAAGAGAAAATGAATTACCTCTTCAGCATCAGATTAGGGACGATTTGAATACATTCTGATTCATGAACTTAAATATCATATTTATTACGTGATGTAAAATACACTTGCAATTTAAAACAAAACAAAAAACATATTAAATAAACAACCAGACTATTTGTATTCCTATTTTCACAACATGACATAGTAAAGGGTATGATTCATCTTTCAAAGGTTGTCTTGTATCTGTGTACTGTATATTGTATGTATAAATATATGTATTTAATTGTATATTATTTACATAATTAACTCCTTGTTCTCACTGTCTTTCTCCACAGGACACAGGAACACTTGAGAAACATAGCTTTGCCACCAGTACATTCACACAGTTCTGCATCCTCTTCAAAAGAACTTTTGTAACAATATGCAGAGACATGGTAACATTATTATTGTATGGTCTATATCTGCTCAAACTCTGTAAATAGCAAAGCCTATCATAGTAAAAACAGGTTTAGTTAGACTCCTGATATCAATTAAAAGGCTTTTGAGTTGTGTTGATGTTTATTTTGTGTTTTAAGGTGCTGACCCACCTCAGGGTGATGTCCCATATTTGTATTGGAGTGCTGATTGGCCTGCTTTATCTCAACATTGGAAATGATGCCAGCAAGGTCTTCAACAACACTGGTTTCCTCTTTTTCTCCATGTTGTTCCTCATGTTTGCTGCCCTGATGCCCACCATCCTAACTTGTAAGATGCGGCGTCTCGGGAGAGATGGGAAACATTGATTTGCTGTTGTTTTTTTTCTGGTTGAAGTTTTTTTTTTAACACTGCTGTTGTTCCACAGTTCCTCTGGAGATGTCCGTGTTTATGAGGGAACATCTCAACTACTGGTACAGCCTGAAGGCCTATTATTTGGCCAAAACCATGGCTGATATACCATTTCAGGTAATATTCAAATGAGCGAGCACATAATGGTTTGGACATGGCTGCAGTATATTTCAAATTAGCGACACTACAAAATCTCTTCTACAGGTGCTTTGTCCAATCATGTACTGTAGTATAGTGTACTGGATGACTGATCAGCCTCCAGAGGCGGCTCGCTACCTGCTCTTCATGGCCTTGTCCACATCCACGGCCCTGGTGGCCCAATCCCTAGGTCTGCTTATAGGGGCTGCATCCACGTCTCTTCAGGTAGGCATTGTTCTAGAAGTGCAATGATACATCTGGGCAGTATTCCTCTAAGTATCTTCTGACAATGTATTTAATTGAGAGAGTTTTTTATTTGAATGTTACTCATTTGCTCCACAGGTAGCAACCTTCGTGGGTCCAGTCACAGCCATACCTGTACTACTCTTCTCTGGCTTCTTTGTCAATTTTGACACCATTCCCAAATACCTACAGTGGAGCTCTTATGTTTCCTATGTCAGGTACTGTCAGTAGTTTATGTAGTTCAAATTTCTAAGAGAGTTCAGCCACTATTTTTAGACTTTTGCTCAATTTATTTAGGCTATCTGTCTTTTTTTTTTTAATCTGAAATGATTTTCTTTAAATGTGGCTGGGTTTACAAGTAAAAAAATGTTGTCCTTCAGGTACGGCTTTGAGGGGGTGATACTCTCTATCTATGGGATGAACCGGTCGGAGCTGGAGTGTCCGGGCGTGGTGTGTAAGTTCCAAAAGCCAGAAGAGGTCCTGCAGCTGCTGGATGTGCAGGATGCGAAGCTCTACGTGGACTTCATTGCGCTGGGGGTTTTCTTCCTGGTCCTTAGACTGGCTACTTACCTGGTTCTACGCTACAAAGTCAAGTCAGAGCGGTAAGACGTCCAGATGATGGATTTGGACGCCTGCACATTACCCGGCAGTGTGGGATAGTAAGCAAACATATAGTCTCTCTTTCTCTGTCTTTACTTTACATACATGTACAAAAACAAACACAAGTCCAGCACATACAATCATCAGAAACTGCTGCACTACCAAACTGCACAGTATAATATGCTCTTTTAATCGGTTTGTTATTCAAGAAAAAAGGAATAGTGTTGTTCTGTCTCCCATTCTTACATGTCCTTCAGGTAATAGTATTTTCCACCCAGCATTACCTTCCAAAAATATTGTGTATCTGCACTATACATAAACAGAATACCCAACTTGGTATCAGAAAGCATGTGTCTTTAAACTGAGAAATTTGGATTTAGCCCCCGGGTTTATGGGGAGCCATGGTGACCATCATGGTGCAGGAGTGTCCAATAACGTGTAGCTTCTCAATTTAATGCCTAAAAGGATAATCCAAGGTTATCTTTGGATCAGAATCCCGTTAATTGATTTGTCATTGGACAGCACCCATGAAGATGGCACAGGAACACGATTTCAAGATGGATTCCCTCTTATTTCCATCAGGAAAAGTGGAAACTTTCAGTGTCAGAAAGCTTTTGTGCGGCTTCTCACTCCCCTGTAAGATCATCTCATCAGGTATCCTTTCCAAGACGCTGAACACGATGGCTTTTCTTTACGGAGTAGGACCTTAACAAACCGACATGTCAGTGGATGACTTTCCTCACTTTCCATCTGCAGTGTGAATCATTTTTGCAGGACCTTCTGCCCTACCATTGAAGGTGGTAGAGCGTTTAGACGTGGATGAAATGTTCGTAAAAATGTCGTCTTATACAAAAGACCGGTGTGGCTTCACCCTGCAACCAGGCCTATGATTCCTGCTCCTTAATATAACACGTTTGTTTCCTCTGTAAGAGAGGAAGCATTCAGGGAACAGGGAGCAGATTGTGAAATCAAGCATGACTGCGGTTTCTAGCCTGATGCAGAGGACTGTTGCACAGAAGGAATGGTGTTTCAGGTGAAGTGCAACAGCCTATTCTGTAGTTCAAAAAAGTCTAAACGGCGTCGCTCTTTTGACACATTTCTTTGAACTGCTTGTTTCCACTGGTTGTATGACTCTTTAGCTGCCTCCACCCTAAGCTACGAAGGGAAATAACATTTTGTTCTCTCCTTCTCTTCTTCTTCTGCTTTGCTGATGTCTGACAAAAGGGTTGTTGTCCAAAACAATGCTAGATACTTGAAATGCTGGCTGGGCAGTTTCTGTGCCTCTGATCTAGAATGATTTGAGTTTCCTCTGCTTAATTATTTGCACATACACCTTATGTCAATGTACATGCCAGTTCACACACACACACACACACACACACACACACACACACACACACACACGCATACACACACACAGCTCACAAGCAAACAATGTTTAGAAGAGACCTCCTTGTTGCGGGGCAATGCAAATATTTTACAATAGACTTGCTATGAAATGTTTCTTACTTAAACTATGCTACTTAGTAACCCTTATTATAAAGCATAAAATAATAAGTATATAATCAACGATTGTACAGTGAATATGTCATGCTGTAAACAAATGTACATTTGCACTTTTCAATGTTTGTTCTTTTTTATTTATTTGTATTTCATTTTATTTTTATATATCTATGTGATGCTTGAAAGTATAACAGGAAAACAGCAACCGAATGTTGCATGTTCACATTAGGAATGAAATTTATGAAATACAAAATTTCAGAGTGAAGCGTAACGATTTTATTTCCCCATCCAAATGTGTATATCCTGCCATGTTTGAGGAGATGCAAATCCTCTGCTTTCTGCCGAACATTTATAGAATACCTGTAATCGAGTGCGTCACCGCTGTAGACAAAAAAAGATAGAATCGGGAGTGAGAAGTACCGTAGAAATGTGTGAAATGTGCTGGAAGGCAGACAACTAAATGTATCATTATGTAGCTAAAGAGATTGGCGGTCTCTTTAGGAACAAACTGGATCAGTGAAGCAGATCAGTGATCGTAGATCTGCTTCACTTTTCAGCAGGTGGAGTCCTGCTCTGACAGAAAGCTGCAAGTGGAGGTTTGGATTCTGTCATTAATAGCAATAGTCAACATTGTGATGTTTAATTGTTATACCTCCCACTGCTGTGGCATCAGCCAGTTCATATGTTTTATATTAAGACCTTGATATGAGGCCTTTCGTTCCTACCAGTTTTATTATGTGCAATAACCATCCAAAGGTGTTTTAACTCTATCAGGCCAATTTCAACAGAGGAAAATGTGAAATGTCTGTCTCGTTTTCATCTTTTCATTTTAGTTAGTGTTTTTGTTGCTTCTGTTCATTAACTCATTTGGTGGGTGTGTTTACTTTAATGGATGAACATCTCGAGGATTTAATTGGAGGGACAGAAGCAGAATAATAATAGAAAAATGTACTGTAGACGGGTGCTAGATAAGCTAAAGCTACCTGGCAGATATTTCCATTTTAATGTCAGACCCCGTCAATTGGTTCTCGAGTTAATGGAGGACAACGTGTAGAGTGGGAGAAGTATTGCATAAAATCAGTTTTACTGTCAACACAGCAGATATATGTTTTAACTTAAAATATATTAAAATCCATGAGTTAATACCAGACCTGCAGGTATGACTTTGTATGGTAAAAAAAAAGAGAAAAGAAACAGCTCCAACCCTGGAACAAAGCAGGGATAATTGTCAGTGTTGAAGTCATTAACCAGTCCGTCTCGTCCTGAAGTCTTAAGGCCTATGGCACAAAAAAAAAACTGTTAATCTTGTGACCAAAGAAAGAGCTCTAAAAAAGTCGGCCCCAATGTGTGTAGTGGTTCAAATCCAGATGGATTTTCCTGATTTCTTAAGATTTGTTTTTCAGTGTCCCTTCCAGGTCAAAGTGGTCATCACTGACAGATATGATTTGGCTCCACTGGAGATACTAAAATCACGTATAAGCAGTGTTCTATAAGTGACTGTGTATGTTGACGAGCGTATGGTCAAGTCAAAATGCTTCGCTCTCTTTGACATTTTAATTCATCATGTCACTATTCTCTATTTCACCTGTTTGTCATAATAAGCCACCTGACTTCTGTGCACTCTTTCATGCATGGTAAATAATAATATACAGAAAGCTATGTTGGCTGATTGAAAATGAATCATAGAATGGAAGGCTGTTTAACACTGATTGTTTTTTTCTTTCATTTTTGTTTGTCTCAATTTGTTTTCATTTACAGTTTAATTTATGGTTTCTCAACTCGTAAAAAATGCAAGTTCTGTATACTGAACGCTGTTCCAAGGATTATAATAAAGATCATTTATAACCTTTGCACTCGCTCAGTGAGATGATTCGCTCAAACACTGACTGTTGTTAGTATGTATTTGTGACAACGTTTATTAAGTTAATATGCATATGGTTATTTGTTGTTTGCTTAATCAGATATCCCACACCAGCACTGAATACTTTATGTACCCTGTACACAAGGGGTTTGAGGGCACCGATGCAGTCTGTGGATATTTTTAGCATAACCACTTTTTGTTTATTCTTCAGATAGATGTGCCAGGAGACACTCGTTTTAGCATTAACATCACATTAGAGGCACGTTAAGATGCTTGGTCAGTGTTTCATGTGATGAATTAATAAGAAAACATCTTGTTACTGAAAGCAAATACCTGTAACTTTGAACAACTTTGTAATGTAAGCTGTATTATTGTGGGGAAAATGAGATAAATGTTAAGAGGAAGTATTCTTTTGAAAATGGAAAGCTGGGTGTAAATATCATCAAGAACCATAAAGATCAGAAGTACTTCCACGATAAAAAAAATTTGAAAAATATCCATTTTACAGCCCAAAGGCACCATTGTCCTGATGATTGCAAGAGCAGTAAACACAATGCAGCAGGATGAGCGCTGACGGAAATGTGCATAATGGCTTCATCCAATGTGGTGAAGCGGTTTAGTCATAACTTGTGCCAAAAGAAAAGGCATAGAGACTTTAACAAGATTTTAATTCATTTTCTCAATCACACTATTCTACACTCTCACATGTAAAAAGACACATAGCTAGATTGGGTCAGGTTAGAAAAATAGATTTTAGACTGCATTCATCGTTGCCTATGGAGAAGATGAGGAAAAAAGGTATGTTTCCATGGATGCTATTCAGACTCAGATCCCCTATGGTCTAACTAATAACTAAATCTCCATTTGGCTGTACATTAAGCCCTAATTAATGGTGTCAATGAAAATCAGGTAGGAGGTCATATTCTGTACAAAGCCTGTTTATTTGCGTTCCTCTTTGCTTGATTAGGTTGTAGACAAGAGGGACCCCTGCTGTCAAGAAGTTTATACAATCCTTTCATATTCAAAATATGCAGGACTACATTAGTATTTTTTGCATGTCCTATGTCACCTATTCTTGGCCAGCATATTTTCCTTATTTTATGGTCACGTTGTTGTCTTTTCTCATTTATATGGGAATGTTATCCAGAGATTTCTTTTTTTTTTTAATCAGAAATGGGCCTTACATTACAAAAAGTTGACAACCGCTGTCCAGTTTCATTACGTTTGATGCAGTCAGTCTCTTTGCAATACTGTGAGAATGAAAATGTCACGACATCTCAATCAAATGAGGCTGGTACCTGGTTATATTTAAGTTTTTGGATGTGTGCACTCACTCTTCTGGTTGTTCACTGCGAATGAATAGGTTATAACTGGTAGCCATTATAAGGCCTAAGCCCCACGAGACAGGTCGATGCACTCACTTTAAAATCATTTCGTAGTAGTCCTAACCTAATAAAGGCGTTGCACCATGCCTGCCATTCGATGAAGACTCCTGCGATTTCCTTCCGGGTTTGTTTTCCGACTTCCGCTCCTCACATCCTTTCGAGGAGCATCATCTTGCTGTTTATTTAATCTTTGTTGAGGACCGGCATTTTCCCACAACACCCTGCTCCTGCTCTCACAGATGACGAAAATGGCGGACAACGCATCATCGGTAGGTTTTCAAGAGATATAATTTTATTTTAGAGACATTGACCACTTTCAGGATGCAAATTAACGTATTATTTTCGACAGGTCGAGATTGTTGAGGGCTGTCGCCTCCCCGTTCTTCGTAAAAACCAAGAACACGAGGACGAATGGCGTAAGTATTGTCCGGTTGTTTTTTTCCAGTGCTAAGCTAGCTAATGCTAACTAGCGAACCTCAGCTGTTGTTATCAGACGCCTCGGCCTCCAGTGAAAGCACTGTAAACACCACACTCACAGGGCTGTACAATGTAAATGCATTTAATTGAATGTTTGCAAATACCACTCCTACATCCAACATGTAATTAACTAGCTAACTCTTGTTGTTTTTTTAAATAAAATACATTTCTTTGGGAAGCTTGGGCGAAATCTATCTGACATCACGCTATTGTTTACAAATCTGAAACCAACTGTTCAGGTCGAACAGTTGATTGCCTGAATGAAGATTTGATCATTTTTAAGGGCCATGTTTATGGGCCAAAGTAGTCCGATCTTTACTTGTTTTGACAGGTCTGATGAGAAAAGTAAGAGCCACAACAAAATTAGCCAAATCAGTCCGACACCCCAGTGACACTTGTTATTGTGAAGCTTCAGTTGGGCCATTGTGGCAGCTTTACTACTCTGACATCCTCATGTCCAAGTGGGTTTTGTGCAGTGGTTCATAAATGTCTTGCTTGATATTGATATTTTAAATGAAAGCAATAACTGTTCGCTACTCTTTGTCACAGGTTGCATGTGTATATTTATGAGCAGTGAGTTGGGAGATGTTCCTATCTTTAGAGCTTTTCTATTTAAATTCATGTATAATAGAGGTCTCAAGAGGTGAAACATAATTTGTGTAGTACTTGTATACTTTTTGTTAGTATCTCGTGACACCGTGGATTTATCTTGCAGCAAGGGAGACGGCTCATTTTTATTTTTGTTATGATTTTGTCATTGTTCATTGAATGTCAGGATGTTATGAAACATGGCCACTTATATTCCCAGAGCTGTGTATTTTAGTTACTGTTGTCGCTGAACAACATTACAAAACCCAAAAGACACTTCATGTAAAACATAAAGGCAGATATTCGTCACAATTGAGAAGATGAAAACAAAAAACTTTTGGCATATTTTTGATACATTTTCTGAGTACACGTCTTTCCTTACTACTTACTGCTCTAGTTTACTGAAATCTACACGAATCCTTTTACCCACAATGATTGTTGTTGAGTGGTTTTATATCTTTTATGTTTAAGCAGCTGTTTCATGGATGTCCATGACAATAATTTATGTGATTTGAGTACAGGTCATTGCAAGTTTTAATTTGACTTCTCTGCTTTTCTTACAGCATTGGCTGAAATCCTAAGTGTGAAGGAAGTCTCTTCGAGAAAGCTTTACTATGTTCACTATATTGACTGTGAGTATAGTTTCTGTTGCATCTTGTTTTTATTTGACATTTTAACTGCAGCTTCACAGACTGAATTACACAACACAGAAACATCACACAGCATACGTCTTTTTATTTTTGTCAAACTGCTTGTGTTAAAAGTCAACAAGCGCCTGGATGAGTGGGTCACGGGGGACAGGCTGGACATGAAGAAGCTCCAGTTCCCTAAGAAAGAAGCTAAAACACCAACCAAGAATGGTCTTTCAGGCTCCCGTCCCAGTTCTCCAGAGAGAGACGTGGTAAGTGGATGCTGTGGATACCCACAGAATATAAAAGTTAATGATGATGTCAATCTCAATTCCTGTGTTATGAATATTGCTAAGTGGATATCATAAGCTGTATAGTGTAGATCGTAACAAGTTTACGTTGTCTCTTTGCTAACGATCTACAATATTTTGCATGCTGCTTGAATCAATGATTTGTTAAAATGCACCAACACTGTATGTGGTGTGTTTGCTCGCTGAATGGGAACAGCATTATATGTTCAACGTTCATATTCAACCGAGCCTCGACACATTTTATCAAAACATTAATGGAGTGTGTGATGTAGACGACTCTCCATTTTAAGAAAGTTCTTAGTCTACATTGTTGTTTTCATACATCTTCAGATTTGATTTAGATCGCCACAGAACTGTTCATTTTCAGTGCGGTTATTATGGAAGAAACTAGTTACATTGTGTGCATTAAATCCCTGAGATTGAATCTAAGGGTTCATATGAATATCAGTTAACCTCTTCCTTCTTCTCTTCCTTTCTCTTCAATTCAGAGGAAGAGTCTAGATCTCAACGCACAGTCTGCCACAGCTCCTTCCAGAGGCAAAACCCTCCCCACGCCGGTACAGCTTGAATCTACACGTTCTAGAAATGACGGAGACCTTAGTGTGAGCCTGGTGTTAACATGCCTCTTGTGTGCTCATACAGCTATCGGGTCATGCCGAACTGCATGGGAATCCAGAAATAAACAACCATGATATAAAAAAGGAAGATGCCGATCCGGTGGTGCAGATCACGTCTGGAAGTGGTTTAGCACACAGTGTATCCAAATGTTTGTCGGGTGTATGCACTGGACTCGTCAAGCCACATTTCAACTTCAAATCTTTCAAGGTAGCTGGTGTTCTCTGTTCATGTTGTGCTGAAGAAGGATTACTCTATGAGCTTCATGTGTGATGAAATATATTAGATCACATGTGCTAAAGCAGCTAACAAAATAAATCGCACACGAATAAAAAAGTGTGAAGTTGTTGATGCAGGTAGTTTAAACACAAAAAAAACACTTAGTTTTAACCCAGTAGAGTTGCAGCTGATCTGTGTCTGTTGCGTCTTACTACCGACGTAAAACCTGCTTAATTAATGTGACGTGCTGTGGCCATTTAACCAGACACAGTCTGAGCTCATATCAGTGAACAGACTGCAGATAATATTGAGAGGGCACTGCTTCATGACGTTAAACCATCTTTAAATCATTACTTTGCTGTGTCATCTTGAACACAGGCCTCTAGTCTGACTGGAATCAAAAGCTCTTGTTTGGAAACACAGATTCTGATTGGTTGAAGTGTTTGGTCCGTGTTCCCATTTAAACGACGTTTGTTTTGCTGCAGAAGAGGAAAGTGGAGGCCGTCCCCTTGGCGACTCAGGTACCCCCGGCCACCGCCGTGCCCTCCCTGCCAAGTTCAACTGAAGCCTCTCAGGCCTCTGTTTTTCCCGCTGTGAGGGAGCCCAACACGTTTAAGTCCCGCGAAGACCATGAGCCGATCTCCTCGCTCACAACGGTAAAGAAAACGGTCTTGGATTCTTAACGGTTTGAGTATCGTTTCACTGAATGATGTGTAACCTCGTTTCTTTGTAATGACAGAACGGCACTGCCCGGCGACTCATCCCCTCGCAGCCCGGGAGGAAGAGAAAAGCTAACTGTGGGGGAACTGATGAGGTATGAAGTGTATTTCATCTTTACAGTCACCGTATTATGTTCTCATTTTAAATGTATGCCTTATGGCAGAGTCTCTGCATCTTTTTGGTGTAAAAAAAAAAGCATAATTTTATCTGTATTTTGAGCACTACAATGTACAAATTATATGGTATACATATAGAATTAAAATAGTCAAAGAATAAATTGTGTTTATGTGCATCATCTACTCCAGTATTCAAACCTCAGATGACTACAAATACTGCCTGTATTAATATTAGCAGAATTTAAGTATTTCAAGTATTTGTCAAAAAACAAATTCCCAAATTTACATATTTATCACATGAATGATTGCTTACTATGTTGTTATTCTGTTTTACTGTTTTAAATGAGACGAGCTTTTCGCCGTGCTAATTGCTGTATAACCATCTTTACAAAACACAAATATACGAGTATGTTGACAAAAAGTATTTGTTTTAAATCTGTTAATTTGTAATTTCATTTAAAGGACGTTTCACGTCACAACTCCCTGTTTGGTTAAATGTTTCTAAACCTAGAATCTGTTTTGTTAAAACCTGTTTTAGTTCAAATTAGTTACAAATAAACATAAAGCCCGACAACGTACCAGCAAGGTTTGGGGACATTTTTATTTTTTTCAACATCCACTAATTCTTCAAGTCAGATGTTTGATTTTTATATGAAGTTAAATACCTTTATATTGGCCTTTTGTTTTGCTACATTTAGAAATTCAGTGTTCTGGCTGACCGTGCTGCAACTGTACAATGAGGAGTATCGATTTAAGATTTTGACATGAGTCATTTTCAAGCCTATTATACAAAAAAAAAATTTTATTTAATTTTGTGTTACAAAATATTAACGATCTATCACAATATGCTTTCAAATGTATGTTATTTGTTTTTGAGAGACTCAAGAGCAGAACAACTGATTGTAACTTTAAATACGTACAAGTAACACGGTAGTTAAACACAAAAAAAAAATGTAATGTCACTAAATGAGACAGAAAAATGTCCAAACAAAGCGGGTCAGACCTTTGTTTTCAGGGTTTCTTTTCACTCTGTCGAGCTACTTAACGTGAGCAGCTCAGCTGTTCTATTCAGTTTAACTGTTGAGTGTAATTAATAACCATTTTAGTCCCCTTTATAGTTTCCAAAAGTTTGATTTCTGTCTTTTTCCTGCTAGATGATAAAGGTTTTGCAGTATAACAACCCTCAAAGTGCCAGCGTCTTTCTACCACCACCAGAGGTCAGTTTTATTATCACACGCTGATTGTATGTTGCTGTGCCTTTAGTGCGTCCAATAGAACAGAGGTGTGTTATTGATGTTATTTAAAGAAATATAAATGTGTTGAGCTCTTAAAGTACACATGCTCTATCTGATCAAGCAGCGTTTTGTTTTAACACAATGTTCATCTGCATGAAAATAGCTGCAGTAAGTGTGTCAAGTGTCCACATTGTTTACCTCCCAGGATTCCCAAGACAGTTCCGACGGCATCCCGTCTGCACCCCGCATGACGGGCAGTCTGGTGTCCGACCGCAGCCACGACGACATCGTCACCCGGATGAAAAACATCGAGTGTATAGAGTTAGGACGTCACAGACTGAAGCCCTGGTACTTCTCGCCGTACCCACAGGAACTCACCGCTTTGCCCATCCTCTACCTCTGTGAATTCTGTCTCAAGTACCTCAAAAGCCTGAAGTGTCTCCAGAGGCATTTGGTAAGAACCATCAGTATGTCACTATCTTAAGCCCTTAATCTCTTGCTGCACATGGAGCTCATCCTCTCGTGTTTTGCGTCTTTGACAGACAAAATGTAATCTAAGACATCCTCCGGGCAACGAGATCTACCGCAAAGGCACCATCTCCTTTTTTGAGATTGACGGCAGGAAAAACAAAGTAAGTGATGGAAGGAGATTTGTCTCTCTCCTCAAAACATTATTTTACAGCATTTGTTTGTTTTTGATTGATATATGTCTGTCATTGTTTTCCAGACTTATTCCCAGAACCTGTGTTTACTTGCAAAGTGTTTCCTGGACCACAAAACCTTGTATTACGACACAGACCCTTTCCTCTTCTATGTAATGACAGAGTATGACTCCAAAGGCTTCCACATAGTGGGCTACTTCTCTAAGGTAAACACAACTCTTTTCAACTTCAGGTACCATGTGTGTGTGTGTGTGTGTGTACAGTCCTCTCGTAACAGCTTGGAAATGGTCTCCCTATTAAACCGGGGTTCCCAAACCAAACTTCATTTTCATTTTCTTTGTGCAGGAAAAGGAGTCGACTGAAGATTATAACGTAGCCTGCATCCTGACGTTGCCTCCCTACCAGCGGAGAGGCTACGGCAAACTGCTCATTGAGTTCAGTAAGTGCAGAATCAAAAACAGTGGCACAGTGCCGGTAAATGTACGCACATTCAAATACCTTCTCTGTGTTCACCTCACCTGTGCTAAACACAGACACACTGTGTGTGTACTTCTGTCAGGTTACGAGCTGTCCAAGGTAGAAGGGAAGACGGGGACGCCTGAGAAGCCACTTTCTGACCTCGGTCTTTTGTCCTATCGGTCCTACTGGTCCCAGACCATCTTGGAAATTCTCATGGACCTTAAACCCGACAATGGAGAAAGGCCGCAGATTACAATCAAGTATGTGACTCGTGGCATTTTATCTCAATGTTTTAAAGCTCGGCTTGGTAATGTATTTTAGATTGTTTTGGTTGTATCAATAAATCAGATGCTCTGTCAATAAAAATAAAAGATCCGGTGTCTGTGGCTGTCCCAGGACTGTAATAAGCCTGGGCCATCGTTTTATTCACTAGGTTGAAATGATTTGGGACGGGCTGCCTGCCTGCACACACTAGTTTACATTCATAATGATAATTTGGGGGGAGTAGCTTTGGAGGAAGGACTGAAGGAACGGACTGTCAATGTAACCGACTTGGCGACTTTCTCGCTAGATTGAGCAACTTTTGGAGTTGCCAACGACTTTAATTGGAAAAGAGTTGGCAACGCAGGTCTGGGTTGTTCAGTTGGATACTTTAACAATCAAGCATACTCTTGTTGGATTCTCAAATGTTGCCGACACGTTTAAATTGTCTCCCAAGAGTAATCTTTCATTGCAGCAGTTTAATGATTGGCTCCCTTTTTATTTGACCCTCCAGTGAGATCAGTGAGATCACGAGTGTAAAGAAAGAAGACGTCATTTCAACGCTTCAGTACCTAAACCTCATCAACTATTACAAGGTGAGAGACCAACGCCGTGTTCCTTCATCCTCAACCCCTGCCCTTTGTGATCGCATCTGCAGCATGGTGGTGTGTCAATCAACCACTTCCCTGTGTAAATTAAACGTTTTTGGGGGATTTTTTCTGCTCTCTACTTGGTCATTAGATTCCATCCACTGTGAAACATTAGTGGTAGAAAAACACGGATCCTCCACAATTCCTGTCATTAGTCTTTACGCAGCTTTCCATGAGACTCTTGTTTCAGACGTCTTGAATATTTCATTTGTTTTTGCGTGTTTAAAAATGTATCGCTGATGAAATATGCGACGCCAAAGCACAGAAAGCTGATATATAACACACGAGTGGTCTCTACTCGGATCACATATTGATGGAGCCACATGTGGTTATTTAAGTTTGATTTTTATGTTTTTGTCTCGTGAATCTAGGGCCAGTACATCCTGACTCTCTCAGAGGACATTGTGGACGGTCACGAAAGAGCGATGCAGAAGAGACACTTGCGCATAGATCCAAAATGCCTTCACTTCACACCTAAGGACTGGAGCAAGAGGGGCAAGTGGTAGAGCCCCGGCCAGGTTCACTGAACACCCCCCCACCCAAACCGCCAGATAGCAGACTTGAAGCAAACCGTGGATCAGATCGAGGTTTTTGTCCAGGTTCCTCTCGTAGAACCTCAAAACCTTTTTGAACCCAGGACTCTTTTTCAGACGAGACACAATGAACATAAATTGTCACTTTGAGATGCAAAAACTTTTATTGTGAATATTTCTTGTATATTGTGAATTTAAAAAGCTCTCAAACTTGGAGACAAAAAAAGAGACTGGTTAACCGTGACGCCGCCAAAATATACACCACACCTTCTACTGTGTAAAAGATCCCGCTCATGACCGACAGTGCGTTTGTTTAATAGTGTACATTTAAGCTTACAATGGCAAACTTACAGACCACCTAATGGAGACATCATTGTTTTACAGTTCTTCAGTGAATCACTTCCTCTGTTCATGAGTCCACATTGTGTAAAAACCACAAACGGGGATTTGTTTTCCTTAAATTCAACAAGGAAAGGTGGTTTTGTTCTAAGTGTGTGGTTTTTGTCTACATCCTTTGTATCAGACACTTGAAGTGCCGTCAAAATGTTGTCTAAATTATTCATGTACCCCCAAAAATGTCAAATTCCATGTGTGACACTTTCCAACATCATGGCTGTAGTCATACAAGTCACGTTTCAGAAACCTCAGTCGATGACAACAGTACACGACTCATAGCGCTCCTTAAACAACGGGACGGCACTCCACGATCTCGTCTTCACGCTCCACTTTGAGTTCACCTTTTTGTACAAAGTGCAGAATTCAAAACGTCTCTCAAACACCTCTTCCTGAACACGCAAGTTTGAATTGTTATGAAATACAATACCTACTGATATACAAGTTACACTTATTAACAGAGAAATGTATTGTGAGAAGGTAAAATAAAACCAATTTTAGGATCTGTTTTGGCAGCACAAAAACAAAAATTCTAATCCTCATCTCTGCGCACAGATAGTAACTTTCAGTTTATTGTGATTCTCCTCCAGTGCCTGAATTTTCTTTTCTTTTTTTTGTTATCTTTCAACGAACAGCGAGGACAGAAATGTTCTAGTAATATGGCTCACCTGTAAAAAAAAAACAACAAAGAAACACGTATTTAAATAAACAGCTTTAATGCAGACAAACATTACAAAGCTAGACATCCAGATCTACCGTTATAATGTTGCTTAAGAGCCAATTCAGGTTTGTTATCTTTTACAGCAAGTCAGCTTTTATTTCCCCGTTTTAAATAGTTGGAAGTATTTATGCTCTTTGTGATCATTCAGGTGATTCTTCCTTTTTTTTTTTTTAAATATAGTTCAGTGTCATAATCATGGGTTTGCAATGAGACAAATCATTTCCCTATGTTAATACCTATGTTCCCCGTTACTGTACATACTGGACCTGATTGTGTAAAAAAGAGAAACCGCTTAAAGACAGAAGCCATGTTGAACTGTTAGAGGAATGTAAATTTTATGTACAGTTGTCTTTCATGTCTTTTTTACTTAATGTAAACTAACTGGCTGCACAATATCAACAGGAAAAGACATAAAAATGGTATCTTACTTTCAGTTTGTGTTTTATGTTTACATGTCACAAAGGTTGTTAAACTTACCCTGTTCAAAGGATTTAGTAAATCTTTAAGTGGAACACAGTTGACAGATTGATTTGAGCGTTTGATATAAAAAGGTTCATTGAATTGATAAAAAAAAAAACTGTCTTAAATGTGTGTTTCCCCCC